GATTTTCACCTCAGACATTATCTTCAAGAATAATCTTTGTAGTTAAAACAAAGTGAGACATAATGTGCATTTGCTGAGACAGTCACCTGTTGCATAATTTTGCTTTGGTACTTATTTTGGAAAAGAAGTATTAAATACATTATGGAAAGGGTGCACAATTTTACCACCTTAATTGTGATTTTTTTGTTTGCCGTGGTGGAAAATACCTGTAAACTTTTCTGAAGTCCTATTCTGCAAGTGACTGCATCATTTTGACTCCTGCACTCTTGATTATTTTATTAGATAAATGAAATGTTTTTTCCTGCCTGGTTCTTCATGTCACAGCAGGGCCCTATTTCTTTTTTCCCCTATAACCTTTACTTTTTTTTTTTTCAGAAATGGCAGAAAGTTGGGTCTTTTTCACAGGATTCTCTGGTTTTCATTCTTGCTCAAGAAGTCCTGCAACTTTTGTCTTTGGTAAAATTAGTGGTTTGGCTCTGCTCCCAGCATCCATACCACATCCCATTCCATTAATCTGAGTTCTAAACTTGGGAAATTTTAATCAATTTTATAACCTTACAGAACTTTCTAAAACCCTTCTCTCAGCAGTGCTTGCATTTTTTTCCTAGATGCCTTTTTGCTGTGAGGTTTGCTTAGCAGTCAGATTTAAGAGCCGTACAGCACAGTGCTGTAGTTGTCAGCTGCTAAGCAGAAGAAGAGGGACTGGAAGGTTACCTCCAGCACTAGCTCCAAGCTCACTTGCTCTGAAAGATCTGGAGAGAATTAAAACTATCCCTCTCTCCAAACCCTGTGTCTAGAGCCTGCTGTCTATAAAGGGATGTCTATGCAAGATGAGTTCTCTGTTAACGTTGTCAGAATGAGACCTGTGAATCAGAACATTTGATATTTTGTGTTTGCACCCCTCTAAAGTAATAAAAATCTGGGAAAGGGAGAAGTTTTGTTTTCTTCGAAATATGTAAGGCCTGCACCTATTTTGTCAGCACAGCCACTCAGCATCCCCAGGATTAAGGTATTTATACCACATTATTTAGGCACAAAATAAATTTATTTATATTTAAATATCTGGATATTTACAAAAGAATACCATGAACAAATAGGCATCAAAATGGGATTCCCTCTTTAGTATATGTAGGAAGAGTGCAAGTTAAATTCTGTTTTAAAGCAGGGATATCTTGTAATGTACCACATACAGACCAAACCAACTTAGGCAATTTCAAAATAAAGATAAAATTGTGTTGATTGGTAAATAGTACATTCATCATATGTATTCAGTCAACCAATAGTAACTACATTTCCTCATTAATTACAAATGTCTGTTCTTTATCTCTGCTTGTAACTCTGTGTTACTTACAAGAATGGATTTATTTCCAGTCATGCCTTCCTGTAAAATACAAAGTTAAATCTAGACTCTGAGTTCAGTGTAAAATGCATAAAAGTACTTTCAATATACCAAAGTTAGAACTAAGACCGTTCTTTTTCCCTAAATATAGATTAATTGAATGAATGAATATAAAATACAGATGAAATAGCTAATTAGATGATGGAACACATAAGCCATTGGCTATTGTGAGCCATTTTTATTTTAACAGCCTCATCAAAGAGAGATATACAATCCTTGCTATATTTCATTCCAGATATAGAGGCTGTCCATATTCTTAAAGCTTTTCTTTAACTTATGTAACCAAAAGTCTGATCAGCTGCTGGACCAACACCATTAATTCTGGTCCACTCAAAAGTGTTTACAGGGAAGACAGCTCAGGATTATTTTTTTCTAAGCAGTGGTTTTTACTTTCAGTTACTTCACTGATTTCTGTTTTCAGCTGTTTTGATCTTTTGAGATCAGTACCTGCATCTTATAAATGCTCATTCTGATTCTGGCATGACAGGCTTTCTCTTACAGTGACACTTCACAGTATTCTTTCTATTTTAGTTGCCTAGTCATGGCCATTTCTATTATCTGATCTTAACTGCAAGGTCTGGAATTAAGCTCACTAATTAGACAAGGCACTCAAGGTTTGGTCCCAGTCCTGTGTCAAGGTAAACTTAGTTTACTTTAGGCTGATCACCCATCACTTTAAAGATCCCAGTTTTTATTATTTTCAATCAAATCTCAGTTTCTTGCAACAATAATTCTGAGGTCTTGCAAAAAAATGCTTTTCATAGGTAATATGTAATGCATGAATTATATACATTAAGATGTGCTACTCAGATCAAATACAGAATTTTAAATAAGTAACCATCCCTCTAAATTAAATCAGCAAAAAGAATAAAAATTTTAACAAACAGTGTATTGAATAATGTTACATTTGTTGTAGGTAATTGCTCAGATAGGACATCTATCAAGTGTCTCTAAGCTTAATATACTGCATTTTAAAAATTATATGCTTACATAATTATATGGCCACATTTGACTGCCTGGTGAACAAGATTAGAAGTACCTTCTTTCTTAGGTTAGTTATTTTCCCGCATTAAAATAATGACTACTCAGTCTTTCTCACTTGCTTCCATTTAGAGGAAGAAGAAGTTTATTTTTCTTTACTCAATAAATTCTGAAAATTAAAGGACATATCCATCTTAATGTTCTGGGCATAATGAATTGGGAAGAGAATGTCCTACAGTGAGCCCCAGTAAGAGCCAAATTTTGTGCATACTAAGCAGTACTTGTTCACTTGTATTAACTTAGTGTTTTTCAAGCACTAAATCACTGTTGTGACTTGCTATGAACAAGCAATCAAATAGCAAGTTTTAAAGAGGGGAGGCTGACAGCTGCTATTCATACCTTGAAAAAATATTTTGCTCCTTGCTTTTGTTTTGGTAGCTTTAAAATAGATCCACTAGGTGGTGCTTGAAATACAGGGGCAACTGGAAATCATTGTGACTAAGAAATATTAAATTATAATTCCTTAGTCAACACTCCAACACAAATATTCTTGGCAACAGAAATAAGATTGCTATCCAAATGCTTGGGCTCCTCCTTTTCCAGAATTGAGTTTTCTGTTTCAGAAGTAAAACTAGATGTTCACCATTATGGAAATGTACTGCTCTCCATTATAAATTTCAGTGGGTCTTCACCTTTGGCACCCTCAGAATAGATTGTTTTCCATTAGTATTTTTGGCATTTGAATAAAAAGTTTGTGTCCAGACTCAAAGTGATTTGGATTAGTTCTCTAAATACATTAAATAAAGACAAATCTTGGCATTGCCTGAGTGCTTCATCACTCAGAGGAGAAGTTTAACTTCCAACAAGGAATATAGGAAGACTATTGTGATGTTACAGCACACGGCCAGGGGAAGGGGCAGGAAAGCCCCTATGGCCAATTATGCAGGTGAATTATGAACTATGAACACTATTCCAATTTCCTTGTAGAGACCAAGGCTTGTTTTCTCAAGTTATTCTTTAACCATGTGCTGTGTAATCACACATTCTAATGTAAATTGGCTTTTTTGGAGCTGTAAAAAAAGTTGAGCTGCCCCAGACTTCTTGGTTAGCTGTGCACCAAGTCAGTAGCCCAATAATTCTCCTACCTTGCAATCTGACAATAAAAGCTTCTGGCAAAATTATTTGCTCCTAACACTGCTTCCCTGTCAAACTGCTGTCCAGTGCCCCAGTGGGGACTTGAAGTCCTTGCAGCTTCCAGGAGAAGCTGTGACACCTGTAGACTTCAGGCCACTCCAGCTTCCTTTCCTGCCTTGAAGGTGAAATTCTGGTGATCCAGGCCTCCCTCAGCATGTGGTTTTGAGGGAAGTGCCTTTCAAAAGGCATTTCTTTGTTTCTTGCAGACCCCAGGAGATCAAACTCCTTTAATTCATATGGTAAGGGGAAGGTGGATGGAGGAGAAGGAGGAAACACACTGAACTTGTGCCTATCCATTTTCCTTGCCTATGCACTTCAGGCAGGTGACTGAGGACACTCACACCACCTGTTCAAATCTTGCCCAGGGAGTAAGTTGGCAAAGGTGACACCATGAGAGGGATCTGATTGATGGGGCAGGTCTAGGAGGGCTTCAGGTCTGGGATGAGGGAGCTGAAGAACTGAAGTGGGGGAGCCCAATGGGAAACTCAGGGTAAGACTTTGGGTGGGGCAGGAATTGGAGGTTCTGCACTAGGAGTTACTGATGATTAGGAAAATCAAATTAACCACAGCTGGAGTAGTTTAAGAGACACAGAACAAATTTAGAGTTAGTCAAGCTTCTGTTACTCATAGAAAAATTGTTTAAAATTACTATATGAAGAAAAAGCATGTGTGAATTGCCAATTTGAAGAGATTCTAGAGAGGCTGTTATTAAGGTCTCTAAAGGGTGTACATGTGAACCTGGAGAATTCAGACCTGATTACTGCTAAATGCACTGCAGTGAGATTTCATCTGTCATTTAGGTGTAGCAGTCTGATTTGCTCATGGCCAAAGCGCAAAGGCCCTTTTCACTACAAGGGTGGGAAACAGAGTAAGGTGTACAAACTAGGAAGGGTGTACATGGGAAGCTAACCTTTCACCTTTACACGTCCACATCATGTAAAGTATTTTGCATGTTTAAAATGTAGTCTATGAAGAAATAGCCTAAGGATATTGATCTTAAAGAAAATTAAGGATTTGGGTCACTGGAAAGCTATAGAGAAGAAGAAGAAATTAATCAGAAACTCAGCATTTTGTGGACCGATAATTTACAGGATGTGAAAAAATAGGCTTAATTATCTGCATTGTATCTTGGAATAATGATGATATCCATAATCTGAAATATGTAAATTAGATGATAGTGCAGCCCTTAATTAATATGAAGTTGATTGTTCAAAAGCTTCCTCCCCATTTTCTTTGCTATTGTAGATCTTAAATGGATGTTCATGTTTTATTAAGACACTATTTTCTTTCTTCAGTTTGTTGTTGCTGGTAAAGTTTATCACCAGTTTTAGTTTTGTGCCCAAGTGCCTCCTTTTCTCAACTTGCCTAACTGCCAAAATCAAAGTCTCTCTTTTAAACCAGAAGTCACATTTGGGTAGATCAGGTTGTAGATTTTATTCTTTATTTAGCTTATTTATTCACTAAGTTTGTGGTGAGTTTTAACAACTTAGCTCTTATTTTACTGCTTCTGTTTCATTTTCTTCTGAGGGGGCTGATAAAATCCTTGTTCATGACCACGTGAGTCTGCTGCATAGTCAGGGCCAGAACAGTAGTTTGTCATCTCAGCAGAGAGCCAAGAAAGAAGCCCCTGGTTCTGTGGGTCCTCAGAGTAGGAAGGGAGCTACTCCCTGTGCCAGTCTCAGGATAGACCATTTTCAAATCAAGGTGAAGAAGGAGCATACTCTGATGATTTACCTTTTCAGTGTAAATCTACATAACTGGGTGATGTTGGTGTTTTAGAAACATTTTCTGGGGTGATCTGTAAGACAGAAAATGGTAAGTTTACAAAGAAGTCAGTCTGAAGACAGGACTGCAGAAATATGCCTTAGTTGAAAGCCAGGACACACAGCCTTTGCAAATGGGAGAAAATAAGTTTCTTAGCTTTTCAAAAAACTAGAGAAATAGCAGGTAAAGATGTCCTAAAAGCATAGTTTCTGTACTTTTTCACCAGGCTCTCTCACAGAATGAAGATGATTAAAGAGGATGAATAATCAAGGTGTTTGTGATGAATTAAACATTGAATATGTAAGGAAAACAAACAAGCAAACAAAAAACCTGGAGTGAATGACTGTTTCTCCAGATAAAAGGAGGTTATTAACAGGCCATACTAGATATCTGCATTAAGACCGTATTACTTTTGTTTGGAAGCAAAACTTTTTACCCACTCAGTCTAAAAATAGTTTAATATGAGATGGAAATAACTGTTAGAAATCAAAGATGAGATACCTTATTTCTTTGCTACAGGACAGAGATGACTAGTAACAGTTCTGAGATAGACTACAGTATGTGATCTGTTTTATGCTTGTATTGCCATGATATATATCAAATTATACCTGCCTGATGTATGTCAAATACCATTTATTTCTATGCAATTGGTCATGCTTTTTTAGGGTTATCACATCCACTTCTCACTACCAAGACATTTATCTGGCAACTGATATATTTGTATGTCTCCCAGGCTTCCTCTGATGAATGATTAGCCAACAACCTCGTCCTCACAGCTTAACCCTTGCTGCTGTGGCAGATGTCATTCTTCTGCCTGTCATTTTGGCTGTACCTGAACATCAAGCTCTTCTGTGTCTTCATTGCTAGATCATACCTTTATTTTTTTTAATAATTCACAGAGTGAATTATTAAAAAAAAAAAAAAAAAAAGTGTCCAGGATTGAATTTCTCATTTTCTCACTCACATTATGGTTGTCTCATTTATTGAGACCTTGTTCTGGTTTTGTCAAATTCAGTCTTGCCATGCTCACACCCCACCCACATGGCTGGTATACTGTGCACATCTGAAAGTGTTAGCTCTCTGTGTGTTTCTGTATACTCCAATTTATCTGTGACATCACACCTAAGATCCTTATCCTCAAATTAAAACACTTTTTACTGTGGCTATTTAACCTATGGCATCAGCATTTCTTTAGCAGTGAGTTAGAAACTGGTGCAGGGCAGCTTCTGCCTTACTGTTGGGAAAAGCTCTTAAAAACGAATCTGCTGCTTTCAGCCCCTCCTTGAAGCTCTCATCTAGGCCATTTCTAAGCTTCCCTAGAACTAGGCTGCAGCCATGCAATAATTTAGGCTTCTTATTTTGACTGTATGGTTCCGCTGGTTTCTTGTCCTCTGTCTATAATTCTTTTTGTATCTTTCTTATATGTACATATAGGCTGCCCAAGGCCAGAGACAAACTCATTCTGCATCTGCACAGAACCTAAGAGAACAGAGCAACATCAACCATAGTAGTAGCTCCATCAGTGCATATTATTCACCTTTTTGCATGCTTTTTTTTAGAATCACAGGTATCTTTTCAGATTAACCACAGCACAGAACTACCTTTCAAGTCCTTCCATGCTCATGCCTTTTATTGAATTTCACTGACACGATGCCAGGTTCTCTTGCCCAGACAGCTGAAAGGACATCACAGGGAAGACTTATTTCATTGCCTGGGGACAGGTCTGTCCTCTGGCTACCTTCATGCACTAAAAGAAAGGAGAACATTAACAGAAGATAGAAATGGCTCACATTGACAGAAGATAGAAATGGCTCATGCATGCTTCCTTCAATGGTGCTGCATTGAGATTATGAATATGATTATTATCAGCAATATAGAAAGCATTCTTTTCTAGTTAAATTTACTGAAGAAAGTGAAGAATAAAAATACCTAATTCATTTATTAACTCATCTGAGTCAGTTAATACCCAGTGATTGCCCACCTGGATTGAAGTTTATATCTCACTGAAGGACTCAAATGTTGTTTCACTTGGCAGGCAAGGGTCAAAGTAAACAGGATTTCCCTGAAAGTAGCAAGAAATTATGATGCAATGTTATTTATTAGCTTTAGTTTTACTGTCAGGGAGATGGGCAAATAATACCCTAATGCTTAAAATTTACATGGGTCAAACTATTTGCACTGCTTAGACTCTGCCTAACTTCTTTATAAGTTCCTAGAGCTAAGCTTCTCAATAGACATAACTTTGAGAAGCCCTATATCCTCCTTTGATACTTTGTGCAAGTTCAAGCACTTTTGAAAATCAAGCCATTCATCTTGGTTTCACAATAAAACTACTCAGAATAATTTCTTTGAAGAACATATTCCTCATTTAAACTCAAAGCTTTCACAGAGAATTACCAATCTGCATGTAGAGAGATCTGCCAGTTTGGATTGAATTTTTGTCCTGAAATGTCCAATGCTGATGATCTAGTCAGTGCAAATACAGTATCTAAATATCCATCTGACATTTTAAATTCAAATACAAATATTTTGACACAGAATGCTCTCATAGGTTTTGGGGTTTACAATACAAAATGAAAGCAAATTTTTTAATCTTGGAATGCAGTAAATGGATGGTTGCCCTCTGGACAGATTTATTTACATTCATTATAAATAACTTGCTATTTGAAAAACATACAGAAAAGCCCTTGTTCACAGTTTAAAGAAATAGCATTTTAAAGTTAATTAGTCTTTAAAATCAAATTTTCTGTGAAAAAAAAAAATCCTGAGAGTAAAATATTGGTCCCACTGATGAAATTTGCTTTCCATTTGACTGGGAGAAATTAATTTTGATAGTGAGTCATACCAGTCTTAGTTTTACATTGCCCAACAGACAAAGGTATTACATCTCTACTTCTCATCACTCTGCTTACTTTCATCTGCAATCTTTTCTGCAAATAGTTATCAGCCAGAATTTGCTCACAGGTCCTTACAGTGTCAGTGCACCTTATCTACCACAACATATGGCTCTTTGCTGCACACCCTGCACGTAAAAGTAATGAAAACCAAATGAAGACCTGCCTTGATTGTGCCTTTGCAACATTTCTCTGACACACTGTACGTTTTAACTGGCTATAGAAAATGAGGGATCTCTTACCCAATATTTATTTTATTTATTTTTACCACTGCGTAAACTTATACCAACATCACTTCATTATTGCTGACTGTTTGTCAGCAATCTAAAGCTTTGTTTCCCCAGTGACATTTTTACCAGAGTGTGAATTAGGACACAATGTTGTGATTTTAATTTTTTCAAGGTTTTCAGGCATCATCATTGCTTTTATATAAGCTTTATGAAATGGTAGACTCTTCAAAATCAGTGCCAAAACTCCTATCATCTACCATTTTAAATACAGCAAGTGGGGTTAAGGCTAATCAATTGATACAGCAAATCCTATTAGAGTCATTTAGGTTAGACTTTAACTGTTACTTAGGTTCCTAATTCTCCTTTAATCTGAGTTAAGATGAGGTGCATAAATAAAGTTACCATGCTGGGTCTAGGAGCTTTGGAAAATCCCACCCTCCACCATACAATCAACAGTTTTGTGTATGTTTTCATTTATTCTCAAGGAAATAAATGGGATCACATTGCCTGGCCCTCTCTCTGTCTGTCAGTCAGACTCTGACCTGTCTGTCTCTCTCTCATAACTTTTGAACCCAAGCTAATGTTGACTGCAGACAGAAAGACGAGGGCCCAAAGGTATTTAGTCCTTACCAAGTATTATGCTTGGAGAAAGTCGATCTGCAGCACGAGTTCCACTGCTCTCAGCTCTCTCCTGTCCACACAGGCTCACGGGTCAGCCCGTCTGTGGGTCCCAGCCAGCACAGCACCCCTGTCCCTGTCCCTGTCAGGCAGAGGATCTTAGCTCCAGGAACAACCCACACAGAGAAGGCAGCAGGCCTCCACCATCTGCCAAGGATGCTGAAGGAACTTGAAACACTGGTCCACTGGAAACTGGGCCACATTGATTTCATCATCTAAAACCTGTCAATTGCTAACTTGCAACAACCAACAACTGACAGTCACTTCTCAACACAGTTTCTGGAAAAACACTCTCGAAAACCACACATTTCCTCTGAAATTATATCAACAGGCTTTATTTAAAAGTAGTTGTTCTCTGGACTTCCACAACTTTGCTGTCTTGCAAATGGCAAAAAATTTTGACATATCCCAGTGACAGCAGCCATACTGAAGAGCTGACATTGGTGCCTACCCTGCAGAAAGTTTTCCAGTCTAAACTGACTCTACGACATGCCACCAGCTGCAGACACATTATAATCCAATTTTAGTTCACACTGGGTAGTATTTCTAATCCCTCAGGTTTACCTCATCATGATCCCTGGTGGTCAGCAAAGAGGATGTGTACAATTTCAGGAAGAGTAGAAATGTATCCACAGGCTAGGGTTCTAATGTGGCTTCTCACACTTGGGCTCTTTTGTAAGTAAAATATTGATGCCCAAGCCTGTGAAGCTTTATGCCATCAAGGCAGTGGACAGTGCTTTTACATGCTTATAAAAGTACTTTAGGAAATTCAGTGGAGATGATTGGCCTTCAGCTGGAAACAGAGAAGCTAATGTTAAATGAAATTAAGTTGTCAATGACTCATCTTAAAGTTTTCTATGTGTTAAGACAATACAAATTGCAGGTAGCATAGACCCATTTTTAATTCAGTATATGAAAGGAAAATTATGATAGCAGAGTAGGAGGAAGAGATGAGAGTTAAGGAACCTACACAAGTCTTTTCTCCCCTTATATAGAGTGTGATGCATATTATCACAGCCGTGTGACAGGGCTGGGTCTCTACTGAGTCCTTATTGCTTTCAGAACATGCTCAGACTTCGAGGGGATGTCCATAAACCTGGCAGTGAACAAGCATCACTTCTGCATCCAGTTTGGTGCAGATGATTCATACTCTTGCTACAGCAAGACAGCAGGAACAAAGACTTCATAGCTCAGTCAGTCCTTGAGTGACCCTGCCAGTTCCTGGCCTTCAATGTTTTTCATTATCTCATCACACACTGAGGATTGCAGTGTCTTACAGAGCAAAGTAGGTTTAGTTTAAGTAGAAGCTTGGGCTGTGCTTAAATTGCACGTTTTTTTAAAAACCAAGGTGGCTTTGCAAATAGTCTCTTGTGGTGTAAAATGAAAGATAAGTTCTCTGCCCTATACCTACCAGCTGAGACTGCTGAATTACACTACAGAGGCTGTTACTAAGTCACTGAGTCACCAACCAACCTTGCTACACAGTATGTTACAAGCTTTTGGTCCAGTACAATAGAAAAAGGTTTGACATAGTTTCAAACAATGCTATCAGCACCAGTGAGTAGACAAACAGGAGTATGGGTCATGGAGAAATTAAGACAGAAAATCAGAAGGTATATACTGCAACCAGACCTGCTACACTTTAGGGTTTTAGTGAAAGGCTGACATCTACAGCACTACTATGCTGAAGTATTCTTACAGAATGGATTCAGAGAAGGGTGACACTCCTTTTTGTTCATTTACACTCATTTTTGCTGTACAAATGGTCACCCTTCAGATACAGTCACGAGCTCTCAATTCAATTTTCCTTAGTCTGAAAGATTTAACAATAATATTCCAGTTCCAAAGTACTTTACATGAAGAGATTCCTATGACAAGCTTGAAGTGATATGACTGTCTGCTCTGGATTTCACTGGAAGTTTGCTTGTACAGGACTATTGGTTTGGAGGGATTTTGGATTTTTTTTACCTGTACATAATAAATACCAGAGTGATAGATAATATTGTTTTTCATGCGCATGGAATGTCATGTCTCTCTAGTTAATAAATGTTATTGCAATTTGTACCAAATGCCTGTTCACCCTGGAATATGTGATAATCGTGAAGAATTAATACTTGTATTCTATTGGGAGTATAGGGTTACTTTGCTTTAGCTGGTGTGCACTTCTTTGACTAGATAGGAAAGAGGAAAGAGCAATCTGTTTGGCACCATAAATCGACTCTCCCAATATTTATCTTGATTTCCTGACTCACAAGTCTGCATTTATGTGTTTTGAATATGTGAATTCTTAGTAGAAAAAAAAATCAAAGACCTGAAAATCAAACATTCCATGATGTTCATGTTTTCTGCACAAGTTTAAGCAAGTTAACTAGAACATAAGTTATAGAGATGCTAACATCCTGCAACCATCAATGTCTGGAATTAAGTGTTCAGCATTTATGTGATCCTAATGAAACTTGTATATTAATGTTAACTTAAGTGCATGTGCATGAAAGACAAGGTCTTTTTATTTATCCATATCATTCACAGAAAAAACATACAACTACTACTGTAGGATTGAAACTCAAAAACCTTTTACAGTTTTTATAGAATCTTGTAAAAGAAAGAAGCACAAGTGCATGTGTATGTTGCAGTCAATCTAAGACAGTTGCCTTCTTGCCTCTTGAGCACTTTTCACAGACCTGTTAAAGTATTATCCGGGTTTTACTTGGATGTAAATAGTCTCTTGAAGGACTGCAAAGTCCAGCTATCTGTTAAAAGTTATAGGGATATGCCAAAAGGAAACATCAAAGAGCTCCTGTCACATTTTCAAGTCTTTTTTATAAGAGTAATCATCCTGGTCCAAGGACACAAACAAGGCAAAGTTTACAAACGGCATAATTTATTTAAACAGAGCTTTCAGACACTTGAGCTCTTTTCCAGATGTAATTAAACAAAACAAAAACTTTACTTACAAGCTTCATCTTGCAACGGGTCTTAATTGCTCTTGTGAAGGGTCAAGTATACAACATGCTGGCTCCTCTGAAGGAAGCCTTGATGATATCACATCTTCATTGTCAGAGAGAGGAGTTCTCATTAGTCTTATAATGCAGCCTCATTTGAAGAATTTTCAACAAAACCCTCAAATTTACAGATATTTTTGTAACTGAGTCCTGAAGGAAATCATTGAAACTGCTTGTATAACTCACTTTGTTTATATATGAAGCCAAAATCACAATATGAATTTTGTAGAAAAGCGAGTTAGAAGCTATGAGTTGCTCAGCTGATCAGTCTAATGAAAAGTATCTGTATTCTCTTGCTCTTTTTGTTTTCACAGATGAAGCACTAAGTTGGGAGAATTCTGCGAAGGCAAAATAAGTGCTCAAAAATTATGAAGTAGTGTTTAAAATCACTGCATGAACTTTCTGTGATTTAGCTTTGTTTGACTCTGACCACCCATGGTTGGGTTACACATTTGCATGCAAATCTTTCCCATGGAAGCTCTGCCCAGAAACAAAAGGAGTGGTTTTTTTAAAACTTGTTGTTAGTGTCTCCTCCATATTCTGTTCTCTCTGTTTCTTGCTGTATTTCCAGCTTGCTTTTTCTTCTTCTTCTTGCAGGGTAAGCCCACACTTCCTCACACCTCCTTGCCCAGAAATCCACATCTAAATACTCTTGACTGCACACCCCTTTCCCAGTTTTTATCCTTTCCTCCAATACTTTCTCCCTGCAAGCTTGTATTCTCTATTCAGTCCCTTGAGTTTCTGCCTTTTTTTTTTCCTTTTTTTTTTGGGGGGGGGAGAGGGGGCAGCAAAAAAAACCACCCTCCCACTCTTTACCTAACTGCTTTTAGCTAGGCAGATGTTTTTTCACATTTGGAAAGCTGAGGGGGATACCTGTAGACATTTCAGTAGTGTATAAGAGTCCAAGACATGGTTAGATATTAACAAAATGCTGATCAAAAAGTAAGTATTAACTGTAGAAATCCAGAAAAGGGGAAAGTAATATGGAACAAAGCTTTGTAAACCTTTTACTAGACCTAAGCATGCCTTCTTAATTGTATATTAGATGAAATAAGGCTTTTAGCATAAGTAGGCCAGAGAGATCTCAAAGGAAACCTAATACAAGGAAAAGGTGCTACTAAAAATACAAAATACAATAACAGCAATGAACTCTTTACCTTTCAAAATCAAACTCACTGCTGGGCAGCAAAGTTAGACTAAGGTTGAATTCAATTTCACCACCCTTTCTCCTGGCAGAGTGAATATATTTTCATTACTGCATATTAACGTTAAGGATGAGGTGCTCCAAGGCAGTTTTGCACCAGCAGGGATCCCCACTTTACACTTCATTTCCTAGCTGCAATGAAGTTGCAGCATTTTACGATTTAGTATCTAAAGATGGATTATTTTTGCAAAAAAAAAAATTAAAAGGGGAAGCCACGACCCTCAGCACGTTCCAGGGGTCCGGGATGACCCTCCTGCGGCGGGGCTCTCCCTGCCCCGTGGGGCCGCCCCTCGCCCTCCAGAGGGAGCAGGTCCGGCTCACTTTTGGGGCTGGAAGAGAAAAACAGGAGATGGGCTTAAAGCGTAAAATGCTAAAAACCGGTCAAGTCCGTAAAAGTGGAAAAGACAAGCCCGGGAGGGGCAGGGCAGGGGAGGCGGCGCACCTGCCGCTCCCTCAGCCGGGGCCCGGCAGGGCGCTCAGGGGTTAAGCCCCGCGGGGGCGGGGGCGGGAGCAGCCGGGCCGGGCTGGGCCCCGCCGCCGCCGCCGCGCTCCCCTCAATGGGCCGGGGCCGGCGGCGGGGCTGAGCTCGGACGTACCGCGGGGATGTCGCAGGCTCCGCTGGCTGCAGGGCACCTCAATGACCTGCCCGACAACTCTCCGCGGGTGCGCGGCGCCGTGTCCGAGCTGCGGCGGCGGGCCGAGGCAGAGCCCGGCCAGCGCTGGCCGCAGCCCCTCTCCGATGCCTTCCTGGTGCGGTTCCTGCGCGCCCGAGACTTCCACCTGGACCTGGCCTGGAGGGTGAGGAGCGGCGGCGGCAGGTCCCGGTGCCCCGGGATGGGAGCAGCCGGGCTCGGGGAGCGCAGCTGCGGCTCGGGCTGTGGCTGCGGGTTTGGGCTGTAGGATGGGTCCGTGCCCTGCGCCGCCGGGTCGGGCGAGGCCGAGCGCGGAGTTCCAGGGTGTAACTAATAATTGCTTGTCACGCGTGTCCTCGGCGCGGCACGGAATCAATGTGCTGGCTCAGCGCGGTATCGGTGTGGTAACACCGGCTGTGTGTGGTAAGCGCGGTACAGTCACTCGCCGATACAGTAAGTGTGATAAGGTCACAGCTCCGATTAGGAAACAGTATCCTTCAAAGGACACCCTTGTCATGATTATCAGGCTCAGGTTACAAGCAGGCGTACTAGTTTCGCTACAGATTTATAATTACTCTAAAACGATGAGTAAAAACTTCTTTTTGCTTGGAGTTTAGTCTTTTACAGCGCTCCTTGCAGGCTTTAGTAAGTTGTGGTACTTTCCTGGCTCTTTGTATGCCTTTTTGCCACAGAGCAAAAGATATTTAGATATTTTTAATATCTAAAGGCACAGATTGTTATCAGTTCGTTATGTTTTTAAATGAAAGATTGATAGCCGTTAAACCTTTGGAACAGAAAGTATTTCCAAATCCTCCCAGGGCAAAAGCTTTGATTCACATGTGCCAACTGAAAGCTGTGTTTCCATGGAATTTTTTGTTGTTTACACTGTGTTGCCCAACAGACTTCACCTATTGGTTTCTTCACCTATTAGTTTCTGACTTCTCTGGACTGTAGATTTTCCAAGTTTACTCACCATAAGAGATCATTGTTTGCATATGGATATGTTGCAGGATCAAGGTAGCTAAAAAAGGAAACTGAGAAATTGAATTAGGCCCTTAATCATAAATAGCTTTAAAAATTGTATTTTTGTTCTTTTCATTTTACTCATGACATTTGCATCATAGCTTTAAACCTTTCCTCCTCAACAGAAGAACCGACGAGTCAAGTCAGATTCCTTTGGGTTTTATGTATCTTACTTTTACTTGAAGTTCATTAGATAATTTATATCAAAGTTGTGCACTAGCCACTGTAGGACCGTGGTTTTTTGCCTTTCCAAACAAAAGCCATTTTTTTTTCCTGTGTTCCATGGTTCCAAAATGCTTAAAGGGCTTAATAAGGACATATGGATTCCTGAATATCCACTCCTAATTGCATTGTAATTGGTTGCTGCTGGTAATCCTATAGACAGGACAGTTGCACTTCTGAATTTGGCCTGTGTGGTTTTGCACTTTGATGGGATTGTGAAGTGTGTTAGGTAGGTAGGACTAATCTTTGGGAGTGTGAAATCTAGCAAGGTTTAGAGATGGGAGTCTATGAAGTAGCAAATTTCCTATGCTTCTCTTGGGAGTCAGCCCTCAACACTGGGGACCTCCTTTGAAAAAGCTGTCTTTTTAAAACCTCTTTAGATTTTCTGCGTCTCCACAGGCTGCTAAGTTTCTGAATTTCAAACCTTCCTTTGAATTAAGAGATTCGGATGTTCAAAACCAACCCATGTTTAATGTTTCTGTCTAGAATTTCAGTTCTCCAAGTGCTGTAGCCACTTGCACTTAATCTTCTACATCCTAGCTGGCACCATTTTCTAGAATACTTCTCTTACAGTAAGGGAAGAATAACAGAAGCACCTTTTTTTTTTTTTTCCCCCCCCACAGGAATGTATTTATTGCAATTGGTATATCAAGGCCAAAGAGAACTATTGTGCAAAAATCTCTCATGGTCCCAAGTTGCATGTTCAGCTAACCCAAGTGTGACTTCACGCAGAAGTTATGTTAGTACTTCAGCCTAGGCAGAGCCCTCCTGCCATCAGTCCTGAGAGTGGCTTTTCCCTATTGTCCTGATCTGATGTTGCCTCTTGGTGTGGATTTCAGGCCAATAAGATTCTCTATGCCCACTGAGCTTCCATGTACTACTGCATAGTATTTGTAGGGCAGCTATGGGATAATCCAAGTTAATGGCCCTGTCAATGCATATAAGCAAAGGTTGTCCAGCATCTTAGTATGGGCTTATACTTAGCCTTAACTATAAATCAAGAGTCTGGCACCTAACCAGACTGCTTCTTTGATGCATTTCTGGTTAATAATTGACACAGATTTATCTGATTTCAGTTATCAACGTTTGGAAATGCTTCAGAAAAGAATAGTAAGGTAGATTGTGTGAAGACACTCCATTTCTAAATCCTTTATGGTGACTCATAACAGCAATTTTTTCCATTTTTCCAATGGCAATTCCAGACTTGCTTTTAACAATATATCGATATCTCTCATGCTAGAAGAAAATCCAGCGCTGAAACAGGTATCTGGAATTGAAGGACTTGAAGAAGAGATAAAACTGTCTTAATTTCTTGAAGACAGTGATCATTCAGTTAAGCTCAGTAACAGACTATCCTCACAGAATCACAGAATATATTGAGTTGGAAGGGACCTACAGGGATCATTCAAGTTCAGCTCCTGGCCCTGCACAGACACCCTGTCAGAGAGTCACACTGTGTGCCTGAGAGCATTGTCCAAATGCCTCTTGAACTCTGCCAGGCTTGTTGCTGTGACCACTTCCCTGGGGAGCCTGTTCCAGTGCCCAGCCATTCTCTGGGTGAAGAACCTTTTTCTAATACCCAGCCTAAACTCCCCCTGACACAACTTCAGGCCATTCCCTCATGTTTTGTCACTGGTCACCACAGAGATCAGTGTCTGCCCCTTTTTGACTGTACCAGCTGTGTGTGTATGGTTGACTTTGCTGTTATCACCAAAACCACTCTCACTTGGATTCACTAGGGATATGTGAAATCTGGAGAACTAGCATCTCCTTTTGGACATAAATGTTTCTTCCTGTTTTATTATGCATTGCATCCTATAACTCTTGTATAGGACTGACTCTCAGAGACTTTGGAATGCGGTCTTTTTGTACCTGAAATACTTTATACTCTGGGGAACAGAAGAAAAGTGTTTGGCATTGAAACTATGCAGAGGGTTTTCATAACATACTATTGTAAGCATCACTTTTGTGGCACTGAAAACTCTCTAAATATCTAGGATCCTTTTAGGAGTTCTGGTTGATACCAAGGTGTATAGCCAGACTTTGGTTTTGCATTTGACTTGTGGAGGAATGAGGATTTTCTGGTGCATTCTGCTGCAAGGAAGTCACTTAGGATGACTATGCTGTACAAGAAGTGTTGTTTTCTGTAGTGTCAAACACACTGCTGAGTCTCAGACATTATCCCTGAGGATCTTCACATCATTCAAACATAAATGCTAAGGTGAAATCAGTTACTTGGCTGCTTTTCTTCTATCAATACTGAGGAATTCCTTGAAAAGGATGGAAGAACCCTTATAAGCTCTCTGAGCTGACTCTTGAGGAAACACGAATCAGTCAGCCAGGCTTCCCTTTGTGCTAAGCCAGCACGTGCCAGTCTTTTTCCAGTGACAAGGAAGTAATGCACAAAGAATTAGGAAAGTTCTGTGTCTCTATAAAATATTTTAATTTTTTTGTCTGTATATACTGTATGTTTAAAATCTGGGTACATTTGTAGAGGCATATATAAAAAGCAATATAAAATACATATGTGTAAAGGTTTGTATTCTGAAATTTGAGCTATGGTTTCTCCTGCAAAGAATGCCAGTAAAAAACACTTTTTCCCCAAGTATTGTGTGCATTTTTACAACTTCTGACACAACAGAGGCCTAATTCTGCCTATCAACCACATTAATATAACTAAATAATTATTAATCAAGAAAAATATAATTAATTTACATATATAGATACATTTGTTTCTCTAACAAGCACAATGTGTTCTAGTTCTTTTGCTTCTAAGTAAAGTACCAAGTTCACTTTTGTTTGTAGGATCTGGATCTTGGTTTAATTGATAACTTTGTAATCTCTAATGTTCAGAAATCTGGAACTATCCCCAACAAACATCAGGGAAAAAAACATCTTAATTAATGCTGAACTAGACACACTGGAGTTTTTCATCCAGCTTTCCCCCCCTTTATCAAGTTATCTTGCATCTATTTTGAGATGCTGAGCAGATGCTAAGTAGGTTATTCCATTTGTAAACACAGATAATTATACATTGAGATGTTTTTCTTGTGTTGTTAAGTGCGTGAGCCATTTTTTATACAGGGGAATGAATGTGTCTGTTTTTCCTGAGATTAGGTTGTTTCATCTATATCCAACCTGATTGTTATATGCAACATTTATGTTTTACCCTGCTGAAAAAGAATCTTACTTGAAAAAAATTTTACATGAATTTCTGTGCTTAACCAGTGTAAAACTAGAAAACCTCTAAATCACTGCTAGTGTTTGAATTCCTTTATATGTTTAAGGATTACTCTTTTAAGTGGCCATGTGAGACTTGACTATCTCCAGCTGTAAGAAAGGGGTTGCTTACATAAATAAAAATTTACAGAATATCTGCCAAAACTAGCTGTAGATTCCATTGAATATTCTCTAATGCTGATCTTTACTTCAGACTTAAATAATTTTAGGTAATTAGATTAGGTCTTCAAAATCTGAGAACTCTTCAGCACTTTGTGATTTTCTTGCCAAGGGAAGCATGTTTTAGGGTTAGCCAAGTTACGTGTCTGAAAGGTGCACCACTTACTTGTGTCATGGAGAGTGTCAGAAGTATTCCAACCATATATTTTCTCCTTAATGGGTGTGCAAGTAGGTTAACTATGCCTTCTGTAAGGATCTTGAGTGCATCACAAGCTGAAAATGCCACTCTCTTTCTTCCAAAGTCCAAGAACTTAAATCCTTGTTTCCAACTTAGAAAATGTAAATATCATGAAAATGAGGAGCTATCTGCATTGACTAGACAGGATTATATAGGGTAATGAATTAATGTGTCATTTTTATTCTCATCTTAGATTTGTCAGGGCGATTTCAAAGAGGTGTTTATATATCTTCATGATGTTGTGGTACCACAGATTTTAGAAGAAAAGTGGCAAATTACAAAGTGACAGATGTTTGCATAGTTGTTTTCAGGGTGGTTTTGTATTTTGCTGCTATTTCAGAGTCTGTTTTGGAAAGAGCAAGGAAGAAACATGTTGACATTGCTGTCTGGCACAAAGCAGTTGGGATTGCTCAAACGTTGCCCTTTGTAGACAGACAGACAGTCAAGTGCTGACAGAATGAGATAATCAGAGTACCTCAACAGGCCTATCTTTGCAATTGTAGTGAACTGTTCCACAAATTAACTTACTTTCCCTACTTCCTCCCTCTTTCCTTCACCTTGTTTGTTTTTTAGTTTTAAACTTAAAATTAACCTAGGCTAAAACTGATTGAATGCAGTCAAGAGACTTCTAATAAGATTCTCCTAATGGTTAAATGTTTCTTTCTATGGTGATGGTTTAGGATGAGGCTTTTATCTGTTTTTTTTTTTTTCACTGACAAATCAAGTGGGATTCTAGCATGGTATATAATTTTTTTTTTTTTTTTTGGATCTAAATATGTATTTTTAGGCTCTGTTTCCTTAAAAATATAGCTAATTTCTAATCAGTGCACCTTGCATTTTTATGTAAATTTTGCTGATAAACAATAATGTTTTATAAATAGTTTCCTCATGGCAATTCACTTGAGAGACTTTCAAAATCATTCAACCTTAATCTGAGCAGAAAAGCATTAAGCTGAAGAAAAAGTATGTTTTATGTAAAATGATACAAGAAGCATAAAAATAGAGGGAAGGGTAGCATTAATTATCTGACATGAGCATGCTGTGAGCTACAGGATGCTGAGTTCCAGGTCTCCCTCTAAGAGCCTGTAGGGATTAATTCAATTTTACTGAAGTTCCTTCTGATCATTCTTCCAATGAAAATACTGAAGAAAATTATACTTGCATATATACAAGAAATTTTTAATTTTTTTACAGTTATATTCTATTAGTTGGACCTGACAGCTCTTTTAACTTTAGTATTTCTGTTGCAAAATATAGAGTAATTGATAAAGGAAAAAAAAATTTTCTGTTCATACAAATTATAGCGAATAAAAGACTTTTGATTGATGTTTTCAGTGTAGTGAACACAATTTGTGAAACTGTGCTGAGGATCAGATTGGCTTTTCCTGTTTGATGAAATATAGAAGCAATTTTAAAAGCTAGGCTGTGCATGCCACCTTTAAGATTTAAAGCTACATTTTGGTTTGCCATGAAACAAGGTACTGAAAAATTCTGGTTCTCAGCTACTTTGAAGGTCTTGTGTTAGACCTCTAAGTCAGAGCCATTGAGGAAATTAAAACAAAATATGAATTACTTGTAATAGCTATCTCTCTACTTTCCAAGCTTAGTGATAACCTTAGCAGAGGTGATACAGCAGAAGCAAATTTTAGTTGATGAGCAGAGAGGAAGCATTTTAGAAGACAGTCTTGCATAGCTTCCTACTTATGCACAATGTCTTGAATAAATTTTAGTTGCAGAGCATAGTTCATTTTCCCCACAACCACTTAGTTAATATTAAAGGAGAAAAGTAATTAGACTTGGAAGTTAGAACTACTGCATTACCAACATAATTTTTCACGATTCATCTCTAAGATGACCTTTCACAGTGCTGCCTGTAATTCCTCAATTCAATTCCTCACAGAGGAACACCTTTAATTGCCTCTTCCTTAGCACTAGTCCATGGCCTTTCAATGCACAGCTCTTCCTGTAGAAATGCTGGTTATGGTGCTGCCTCCCAGCCTTGAGAACCAGGCTGACCAAGTCCCTGGCAACAGACAGGATCTCTGTTTTAACCTGACAGGATCTCATTATTTCCACTCTGTGAGAGGGAAATTGTCAAATGTGTAATGGACCCACTACTGTGTTGTATTCTCTCATTTCAGAGGGGTAGAAGAGACCTCAAAAATGTTTTGGGGTATGCTGATGAGCATAATTGTTTCAAATAGTAAACTGGAATTACTGATGACTGTGTAAAAAATAGGGAGGGTGGGAGAGAGTGAGTGAAAGAGAATGTTCCTCCATAAAATTTTGCACATCTAAATTTAAAAAATCCTGAAGGAGTCTGATGAAGTAGCAAAATGAACAATCCTAAAGGATTGTTAGCAGAAAAAAATTTGGTTTAGATGCATTTCACATAGAAACTACAGGGTTATTGTACATCCAGTTTTCTTTCTGACACAAAACGACAACTGCAGTCCATTAATGATTTCACTGGTTCTAAATTCATCATGGTAATTTACTTACTTGGTTGATCCAGTATAGCAACCTTCTGTTTCTAGAAGTGATTTGATTAAAATATACAATTAAATTATAGCTAATTTAATGAATTAAACCTGACTGTGACCACATTTGGAAAATATATTTTTAACTGTGCTCCTCCTATAATAGCTGATGCTTACCTGACATCCACATTAAATTTTTTTTCCAGTTATTGAAGAATTATCAGAAGTGGAGAATTGAATGCCCAGAAATAAGTGCAGATTTACAACCATCTTCTGTTCTTGGTCTTTTGCAAGCTGGCTATCATGGAGTCCTACGGTCAAGAGACCGAGATGGAAGCAAAGTTCTAATATACAGAATTGGTGAGTGACAAAATTGCTTGGAACAGTTTCACACCTGATTCTGACACTGAAGTTTTTGGCCTTTCTTTGTTTGCTTTGTTTCATTTTGTGGTTTATTTTTTTAATTATCACCATTTCAGCAGCAAATCAAAAATATTTTATGGGTACAACTGCAGGGGTTGATAAAACTAGATCGTATCAGAATATCTTAACAAGAATGGTAATATGTTTATGTTCCTTGCTAGAAATGCATTTATGTTAATATAAAGGTGAATTTACTGAGCTATAACAATTAAATAATTTTACTTATATATTGGTATGGCTAAAGCTGTACAATCCCTTATGAAGAACGTAATTTTCTTTTCAGTGAAATTCTTGTTGCATCAAAAGAATCTTGAAGGTTAAAACTTGTAAGATTATGTGGGTTTTTTGGCTCTGAGTGTCCCAAAAATCATTAGACTTCATGTAAATTGTCAAAGCCATGGGCTAAGACTGTGGTGCTGATGCAGATGCAGCACAGAGTCAGGAGAACACAAACAAAGGTGTACACCTTGTCATATATCAACATTTAGTTTAGGCTGGGATGATCACCGGCCTTTCGTTGTTTACTTGTAGCGAAAGAGCCCTAGCAAATAACACTTGGAAAATGCTTGATGCAACTCCTAAAAGTATTTTCAAAAAGTACATAGTTAGAGCACCATGTCTCTTTATGTTTGTTTTGGACAGAGGCTTTATTTTTGCCAACTTTCAAAGAACTGTCTTATTATCATCAGGTCTGGTAGGCAGTTGTGCCCCCTAAAGCTTTCATCTAAGGCTCATCCCTAGATGAATGCAATTTTTCGCTCAGGCCTCAGAAAAAAAAAAGTGAGATTCACTGAGTTGTGCCAGAAAATGACAGTGCTGAAAAGCAATTCTGTTAATTGATTGGACTGATGATCTGCAGCTTCTGCTAGCATGAGTGTTACTGAATTGTACCTTGTACTGGGTCTGTGGCCATAGGTAGAGCATGCTACATTATGTAGCACCATCTACTAAAAGAGCATCAAAGATGAATGAGAGAGCAGGTACACAAATTAACTTATGCACTGGCAAAACAGTTTATTTCAGGAACTTTGTTCTTGCTGATTAATTCTTTTTCCTGAGAAGCACATTAGAAGCCATAGGAAGAAAAAATGCAGGTGTGTGGGGTTTTCTCATGGTAATGCAGGGTAATCTATCTTCTCCTCAGGACAATGGGATCCCAGTTTGTTTACAGCATATGATGTGTTTCGTGTAAGTCTCATCACATCTGAGCTCATTGTAAAGGAGATCGAGACTCAGAGAAATGGAGTCAAGGCCATCTTTGACCTTCAAGGGTGGAGATTTGCTCATGCTTTTCAAATCAGCCCAGCAGTGGCCAAGAAAATTGCTGCTGTTCTCACAGTAAGTATGACATAATGCTTTATGCAGCTTCATTGCTATGATTTCCAATTTTTCATCTCTTCCAAGCTATAGTAAATTTTCTTTCTGTAGGCATTCTCAGACTATGCAATTTAGAGGAACAAAATCCTAAATCAATTACAAGTTGTGCTTGATTTTACCTAAATTTTATTCTTCTATACTGGTAAATGTCCTCTAACTTCTGCTATTTTATAAGAACTCCACCAACCTGTTACAACACAAGAATTTCATGACTGAAGGAGCAGATGAAGCTCAGTTTTGGAAGGATCTCTGTTTGTTATCCTTTTGCATCTCTTCTCTTCCATTCTTTTGTGCATTATCTCAATATTTAAAACATTTATTCCTGTCTCAGAGAATATTAAAAATAGCCTGCACTGTGAGCAATTAAGATCAAGACACTCCTAACTTGTTACCAGTATGGATGGTGCTTATGTGATCATCCATCTGCTAACAACAGAATCTGTTATATTTATGTTCTGCTTGCTTTCTTCCCCACAACATGAGCATAGTTTTGTGCAAATCACTGTTACCTCACTTCCTGTTTTTCACAAAACTTGTCAGGACTTTACTGTCTTTAAGGCTTATTCCTTTCTGCCAAATTCAGTTGAACTTTGCCACTGGATTTGAGAGGAAAAAAATTAAAGTAAAAAGGGGGCAGAGAATTGACCGCAAGCTACAGTTGAGTCCTATAATCATATTTTCCTTCAGAAGGTACGTTGAAAGTCAGTTATAATAAAACTGTTAGCCTGTGATGTGGAAATGAGCCAGGGAGATAATCTCTTGCTGTGATTCACTAGGGTTCATATCTGAGATTCAATCAAAGCTTAGTCATTGAATTAATATCACCAGAACTTCAGATGTTCTTCCTTTCTGATATCTACTGTAAAACTTTATTGAAACCATCAGGTATTCCGAACTTTGCACGTCTAGAATAAGAACTCCTGGTGTTATGCAATCTTGGGCCAGTTCTCATGAAAACAGGACTAGTGAGAGTGTTTTGGTTGATTTCTGAGGTAGTAAACATATTGCTGGTAATTTTATTAACCTTGAAATAGAGCAGAAAGGAGGCAGAATAGGATTTGCAAGTACATCTAAAAGTTTCAATCCATTATCTCAAAGCAGGAAATTCTTTGACTATGATGTTTTCATCTTGACCTATTTCTGATTTTTTCAAAATTCTACATGTTTATTCTAGCTATGGAAAAGGAAAATTAAAAATTGTGTGTTTCCAGTGTTCTTTTCTAAGAAGAAAAAGAATTTTAATTTTTTTTGTCCCCTGATTCCTTTCCTCACTTTTAACTGTGTTTTTAAATTTTATCCAGAGATTATATTAGTGTTGTTCAATATCATTTAATCATAGAATATGTTAAGTTGGAAGGGACTCATCAGAATCATCAAGACCAACTCCTGGCCCTATGCAGGACACCATAAGAGACACACCATGTGGCTGAGAGCATTGTCCAAACACTTCTTGAACTCTTGTCAGGCTTGAAGATGTGACCACTTCCCTGGGGAGCCTGTTCCAGTGCTCAACCACCCTCTTGGTTAAGAACTTTTTCCTCATATCCAATATAAGCCTCCTCTGACACAACTTCAAGCCATTCCCTTAGGTCCTGTCTCTGGCCAGGAGAGTGAAGAAATCTTCTCTTCCTCTTCCCCTCACAAGGAAATTGCAGACTGTGATGAGGTTTCCTCCTCAGTCTCCTTTTCTCCAGACTGACCAGACCAAGTGACCTCAGCCACTCCTCACACCGCTTCCCGTCCAGGCTCTCACCATCCTCCTGGCCCTCATTTGAAGCTCTCTAATAGCTTAATGTCTTTTTTATATTTTGGTGCCCAAAACTGCACACAGTATTCAAGGTGAGGCAGCCTCAGTGCAGAGCAGAGCAGGACAATGCCCTCCTTTGCCCAGCTGGACATGCTGTGCCTGATGCACCCCAGGACATGCTTAATGCACTCCAGAATATGCTTATAAGTAAAGAAACCTTAGTTTTAACCCAGTATTTTACTCAAGAAATGTGTCTTTAATGTGTCTTTAATAGCAAATTACTACACTGTATTAAGAACCAGAAGTTAATAGAAAGGAAGTATGTACTAAGGAATGGAAAACATAATACGAATAATAAGTGGCATTATCTTGAAAAATCTGATATCCCTGCAGAAAACTGTTTTGTGAAAATCATGATAGTAGACTTTAAGTATATGATAACCCATAATAACATTAAGTGAAGATACAAGCTGATAATTTTAAGGTCTTTATCATATGTTATATCGAGAAGGAGTGGCACTAAAGAAATGTGTTAGCCTTGGGTTTTTCCTTCCTTAGAACTATTGAACTAGTGAGGAGATGTGTTTGTGAGAAGTACCATTTTTATAAGCAGAAAACATCTCAGAGGTAGTAGCAGGTGGGATGTGAAGGGAAGCTGTACTTTCCCCGTTGCACAAAGCTTATTTTGAGCACTGCCATATTTTCTTTTAAATTTCAAAGATCTGGAACTTTTAAATGAATGCAAGTAGAATCCAAGCTGGTTTATATTATAAAGGCTGTATAGCAGATATTTTTTTCAATTTCATTAAAACAGTAATCTTGTTGTAAAGCTGAACTTCTGTCTTGGCCAAATTCCTAGTAATTTCAAGGCTTATCTCCAAACTATAAATTTAATTTATTTAACTTTAAATTAGTTTTCAATAGTTTATATGTATTTATGTATTATCCTTCAGGCTGTAAATTGCCAATAAAAACACATAGCTAGATAGCATTTTGTAAATTAGTAGCAGAATCTTGTGAAAAATTGTACTTTAGAAGAAAGGCTGAGCACAAAGTTTGTGTACAATATTTATGTGCAATTTGGTGATAGTTTTATTTTTTGTTTTTCTGTTTGTTTTTAATATTCAATCTCACCTCCTGCTAAGATGAAAAAAATGGTGAGATTTTGCCCTCTGATGGGGGGAGCAAGATATGATTTTTCTAAATGTTGTTCTTAATTTACACTGCTAGAAAATGCAGGAGTTGGCAGGTCAGAAGAAATACTTTAACCTATGAACTAGACAGTTTTTACAGGCCTGTGCTTAGTAATAGAAGTGTTTCAATAATGTTTTCTTTTTCTTATTCTGTTTTCCATGTATGCTGACAGGATTCCTTTCCACTGAAAGTTCGAGGTATCCACTTGATTAATGAGCCTTTACTCTTCCACCCAGTCTTCGCTCTAATTAAGCCTTTTCTCACTGAAAAAATAAAGCAACGGGTGAGTGCACACAAATATTTCTTTCTGCCACAAAACCCTTATATGACAATCTGCAGCACTTTCCTTAGGCTCTATTACTCCTGAGTACTGAAGAGCATAAATAATTTTTGTTTGTTAGTGCCATACAGACATCCAGAATCTAACAGTAAAGCATTTGCAGTTATTATTAACATGAGCGTTGCAAGTGGTGCTGTTATCACTACTCTGAAGAGAAAAAACAGCAACACAAAGAGGTTAAATAATTTGCTTGAGATCACATAACAATTCTTCTGCAGAACTAGAAAGAAATAGGTCCTGGATTTCCCAGCACTCTGCATACAAATGATAGAGAAAAATGATCACTGAGCAGTGTTTTATGGTCCAAGCTGTGCAGAATTAGTAGAAAACAATTGTTTAGCTCTGACAGACCTCCAGATTTATGCATCAAAAATTGGTCAGACTTAATTTCTAAGTTTTTTTCCAAATAGCTCCTTATTTGCTTAAATAGTTTTGCAGTTAGAGATCTGCAAATAGATTTGTATTTGGATGCAAAAGCATGCCAAGGACTACGGTTTGTTGCAGCATAGGAAAGATATTGGAGTTTTCAGCTGGCACAAAAGTGAAGTGGTAACAGCAGGACTAAGGTACAAAATAAGCAGCTCTGCCTATTGTTGTTCTGATTCTAAAGCCTCCTTTTGGTTATTTTTTGGTTTGGATTTTGGTTATTTGCATTAGCCAGTGAATGCCAGGACAGTAAATCCTAGAAAAGTATCAGACTGGAAGTAATGAACAAGGCTTCAAAATAGCTACAATAAAGCAAGAGGAGAAGAACCAAACCTACAGTATTGAAAGAGTTAAAGTGGAGCAGTAGTCCAGAATCCAGTTCCAGTTAAAACTGAAAGATAAGGACTGGTATATAGATTCTGTTGAGTATCTTCCTTGACACCTGTCTGAACCTACATACATACTACATAATCTTGTTTTTAAATACATGTGGCAGGACCAGATAGTAATGGCCATGAGCCAGACAGGGCTCTTTTCTTAGAAATTACTGAAGGGGAAGTACAAGATATCATGACAAAACAAATGACCGATATTCCCGTGGTTTAGCTCAGTTTAGCAGTTTGGATGTAGTGCGTACTCTCACCAGCGTTGCTAAACCAGTCTGGAACAAGTGTGTAGTTAGTTTTGGCTCCTGTGCTCACAGCTACATAAAATGCAGTTCTCAGGTCGTAGTCCATCCTTCACCAGCCTTCAGATTCAGAGGAGGACAGAATTTGAGTACCTAGGGGAAACTCACAAGGGTAGTTCCACCTTTTTAAGAATTAATTATGAACAAATACACTTCTTAAGTTAAACCAAGCTGGTGGATTCAGCTCTTGCACTGAGATGCTTTGCTGCCTGTTCTCACTCAATAGTCTAGCATTCATACCCAAGTAAATGCTTTTAATATTTTGGTTTAGGTGTACTTGCATGGAAATAACTACTTGCAAAGTCTGACCGAACACTTCCCCATCAGCATTCTCCCACAGGAATATGGGGGGAAGGAAGTCTCCATTGAAGAGCTGGCCAAGGAATGGACTGACTTCATAATGGCATCTTCAGATTATCTTCAGAGCATTTCTCTGGTTGCCTAGGAATAATCTTAATACAATATTTTATCAATTCTTGAACACTGGAATTGGAAATAAGTTTAATATGTAAATTTCCATTGTGAATGAAACCGGTATGTCTTTGCAGGGCACTCACTGAATGTTGTATTGGCTGCACTTTTGTACTAACTGGAGTCTATCAGTTTGCATGTCTGAAGAGATTAATGAATTTTACATGTTTGTCACACTGTTTGTTATTGAGTAACTTGTATGCCAGAAAGCTGAAGAGTGCATTGGCTATCAGATTGATACTGCTGCTGTTAGGTCTTTGGAGACAACTCATCTGTAATAATGTAGTCCAGAACCCTACACTTAGCTCTTGTATCTTAGCTTGTCAAGACAATACAAAACAAAGAATAGACTGTGCATATGGTAGTTTGTTGCAGAAATAAGACTACAGGGCTCATTTACAAGGAGTGAAGAGGCTGCTTTTTGGAGTGATTCTCAGGGAAAAAAATGCTGTTTTGTTAGTTTGTATCAAATTGAAAATTAGTGTGTCTTCCCTTTTTGTCCTAATTAACAGAGTAATCTTCAAGTTTTATAGAAAAACACCACGTACATATTCTTCAAAGAACAGTGTGCATCAGAGGGAGGAACTGGTAAAAGAGTCATAACAACCTTGAAAATTCTTATTTTCTTTCTTCAAAGTGATACTGTCTATGGACAAGTATAAGCAATTCAGATTATTATCCTTTAATCCCCCATGTAGAGGACTACAGAAATCAAGAGTTTTCAGCTGTTTGCATTATCTGTTTGTTTCAGAGGGTAAAGTAGGTTATCCTTTGCAGATCTGAGCTTTAGAAATATCTGTTGTATGTTTTAAGGACGCTTTGAGGTCACTTTGGACCTCAGCATGGGAGATGCTTGGTATCATCATTTTATTTTCAGTACAGTAACTGTTCTTAACTCTGTTTTGTTTTTGCATAAGCACTACATATTTAAGCATTCCAAATGAATTTTCCTATGAATCCATAAAAATGCTTTTATCTCAGGTAGTTAGAAATTGTAACTTCAGTTATTTTGTAATCTTTAGGACATTGGAATGGTATATCGGCATAGGGAAGAGAAATGAAACTATCCTATTATATTAGAAATGCCTTACTTTAGATTCTAATTCGTAAGGCATTATTGCAAGAGTCATTGGAAACTATTTTTATTAGCAAGAGGAACATTTATGAAAGACCCCTTAGAGTACTTGTTGGTTGTAGCTTCTTCTGCTGTGGTAAGATCAATGCTAGAAATTCTTTCAAAACCGACAGCAAGCTTTTTTTTTTCCTTCCAATTTCCAAATTTCCTGAAGTGCCTTTTTAATTTTTCTCTTTCAAAATATTTTTATATGGGGCCTAAATTTAAAGAAACCTTATTCAGATACATGATTATATGAAAATGTATTTGATATATATTTCTTTTTCTCAGATTTTGTGATACTATTTTGTGATACACTGTTTTGTGATACAAAAGCTCTTTAAATAGAGTAGTTCAATGAACTGCAAATTCTTCTTTATAAGAAAATAGACCAAGTAGTCAGCTATCTGGCAATTGTTCAAGTGTATAACTCAAGTTCCAAATAATTTACCAGTGGGAGACCCAAAGCTATTGTCTTAATATTACAGTCCTTCAATTTTAATCTGTGAATGTAAACTGCACAAAGGAATGAACCATGTTTCAGTGAACAAGAAAATTTAAACTTTTCCTATGAAACCAATTTCTGATTGCTACTGGTTTATATAGCAGAAACCTCATTTGATTGCATATGTATATGCATATTTAGCTGGGGCTCTTTGATCTTTATTTGGACTTCACCAGCTCTATGCATATAAAGTCCTAAATGTCTTCAAAAATACCCCGATCCTGTTATTAAGTGGTAGCGTGTTTGCCTAACTCAGCAGTTAGAGCACTGAGTGCAGTTATTTTTTCCTGAACTGTTAATTATTTTTTAATGTTTACATATTATATAGGAGGTGGGAACTCTTAATTGCCATTGTTGCTAATAATAGGGACACGCTATAATTGGAACATTTACATAATGGATAGTGAAGGTATTTGCATGATGTGCGGTGGTGTTGCAGCTGTAAGCAGCAGCCAACAAAACAAAGGTCCCTACGTACATTATTCTTTATAAACATCGGGAGTGCCTCTAAAAAAAATAAAGTTCCTGTTAAACGGTATAAATATAATTTACTACTGACTGTAAGCACGATGTAATGCCCAATTTTTAACGTTTTTTTCTCTGTATTAACATACGTTTAAATTAATAAACCCTTTCTGGTCGGACCAGCCTCGTCTGTCACGGATACGAGCGTCGCTTTGGCAGGGATGGGGGCGGCCGCGGGTGCTGCCTGCGGCGGGGCTGGGCCCGCGGCCGGGACTGCATTTCCCAGCGAGCCGCGCAGGGCGGGCCGGCGGCTGCGTGCGCAGGGCGGGCACCCAGCCCAGCCCAGCCCAGCCCCGCCGGCAGCCGTGCCCGGCGGCGAGCGCTGCCGTGCCGTGCTCCGAGCCGTGCCGTGCCGGGAGCCGTTGGCCGTGCCCGCAGCCCTGGCCATGGGGCGCCCGGCAGGGCTCGGTGGCGCCGCGGCCGCCGCGCTCCTCCTGGCGCTGCTGCGCTGCGGCTCCGCCGCCTCCGTGGCGCGGCGCGACCGCCCGGCGGGGCGCAATGACAGACCCATCATCGGTAAGGGGCCGCGGGGCCGCGCACCTGCCTGGGCCGAAGGGGAGCGTCCCACGGAGCCGAGGTTTGGCTAGAGCTGGTGTAAGCAGCGTTAGGCTGTTTCCCTAAAAGTTAGGCTTGCTTGAGAGATGTTACAGTGCTGAGCAGTCATAGCAGGGAAGCCGAGTCTTAGTCAGGTAATTGTGTTTGTGTGGTACCTTGTGGCGGGGCGCCGTAATTGATGTCCCGTTGTCTCGGTGCCTGCAGCTCCTCTGGGCAGTGAATGTGTCGCTGCTAGCTGGAATATAGGAAATGGGAACTTAATTAATTAATAGGAGCACGGGTCTTAGGAGGAGCGGCTGAGGAACCTGGCGTGGTTTGGGCAGGAGAAGAGGAGGCTCCGGTGTGACCTTATCGGTCTTTACCATTGCCAGAAAGGCGGCTGGAGCCAGGTGGGGGTCGGGCTCTTCTCGGCAACTAGCAATAGGACAAGAGGACACTCTTAAGCTACCTAGGGGAGGTTTAGGTTAGACATTAGGAAGAATTTCCTCACAGAAGGGGTGATTAGATACTGTAATGGACTGCCCAGGGAGGTGGTGGAGTCAGTCCTCGGAGGCGCTTAAGGAAAAACTGGACATGGCACTTGTTTCATGGTCTGGTTGACACGGTGGTGTTCATTTGTAGGTTGGATTTTATGATCTCAAAGGTCTTTTCCAAGCTAATTGATTCAGTGATTTTGCGACTTTTCTTTCAGTATGTAGCATCTGCCATTTAGATGGTGCTAATTTTCTTCCTTGGGCCCTTCAGGGATATTGTCACAGGAATGTCACTTTGATGAGTACCAGCGATTTGGAAGATCTTATATTGCGGCTTCATATGTGAAATTTGTGGAATCTGCTGGTGCTCGAGCTGTGCCTATAAGGTACATTTTTTTTATCTTTAGGAGTGGATAATAATTGCATTATGATGAATTGTATGCATGATTTTAGAGGCACAGAAAGTAGTTCTGCTGCTTTTCTGAGTGTTTATTGCTCCTCAAAGATGATTTGAAGAGGCCACAATTCTCAAAGTTCCAGAAATTAGAATAAAAGCAGAGTGGAACATATACTTTTTAATACTTCTACTTAAGTTGTTAGTCTCTCTTTGAAAAGTTCTAATTTATTTGTTTTTTACCAGTAAAATTGCCTTCTGTAGTTTGCTTGCATGTTTTTTTCAAGTTAGCTATATTCAGTGTACAGTGTAGTGCCCCGCAAACACACATAAATGCCTAGATACATAAATGTAGATATCTTTTTTTTCACATTTTGTAGCCCTGGAATTCAGGGAATCAAGGAGGGCTATCAGTACTCCTTTCAGAAAACAAAGTCCAGTTCTGTTCAAACCATGGGTCATTATCTTCTTGTATTATAGTTGTTTGGTGAAAAGTAGCAGGGTAAGTAACAGCTGACAGTACTTCATATCAACGCTGAGCTATAAAATATTAAATGCACTGAAACCAGATGGTAAAATTATAAATTTCCGTTCTTAAAAACAATACTAATACAGCTGCAGAAAAACAAAATAGCATGTATCTACACAGTCCAATAAGAGCACCACTTAAGTGCCTGGATTAGAAGCCAGCATTCCTCATGTAGCTGCTGGAGCTTTCAGAATGTTTGCTGACCAGAAGCTTCACTGCTGAACGGATGCTTCTAATTCTGGCAATTAAGTTACTTGCAGCAAAGCTGAACACTTTCACTTACACCCAACTTATCACACCTCTACAGAAGTGTGGCCATCTGTGCTGGTTTTGGCTGGGGTAGAGTTAATTTTCTTCACAGTAGCTGGTGTGGGGGTGTGTTTTGGATTTGTGCTGAGCACAGGGTTGATAATATAGAGGTGTTTTTGTTATCGCTGAGCAGGGCTTACAACAGAGCCAAGGCCTTTTCTGCTTTTTGTGCTGCCACGCTGGCAGGGAGGCTGGGGGTGCATGGGCGTGACCCACTGTTTGCAGCTCTGCCCTTCTTGGGAATCAGTTGGAAACCGGAGTTGCCGGTCTGCAGGAAATAATAACCGTGCCATTCATGTAAATAGTACATTTTTCAGGTGTCTTGCAGAAGGGTCTCAGAGTACCTGCTCAGGAACTCTACCTGACAGGGCCCGTTTATAGTCTTGTGGATTAAGCTGTTTCAAGTGAAATGTTTCATTTGATTTGTGTCCATTTTACTCTGTTTAAAGCATGCCTTCTCCATATTTTCTGTCAGACATTTCTGTTCAACAGAGATTATATTTTCGTTGTCAAATATATGTACGTAGTATGTATTCTATAATTATTTTTTGGTGTTTCAGATTGAACCTTACAGATGAAGAGTACGATAAAATCTTCCACTCTATTAATGGGTAAGTCTTGAGCACTGATTTTCTGTTGAAAGGCATGACATGATGGTTTTGTTTTTGAGCTCTGCTGTGTTCTCAAGAACATTGTCTTCTTACTCTCTTGAGAGGTTGTGCTGGGCACTGCAGACATGAAAACAGAATGCATTACTTCATCCAGTATTGGTGTGCTGCCTTTCCTTCCTTGAGGAACACAGATAATCTGCAACAGTGCCAAGGCTCATCTTGGCATTCCCTTGTGCTTGTCTGCAGACAGGGAGAAGTGGTATTATAGTATGAGCAATTTTGCAAGTGAGATACTCAACTTCCTCTTTGTTAATTTTTCTGTCTTCCTCATTTCACCTGTCATGTTAATTTTGATGGTTAATAGCACTTGCTTAGCATTTCACCCCTGTTTCTACCCTTTCTTCTCTCTTTCAGTCCTTTTCATATCTTCTCTATTATAAAAGTTTCTAATTTCCAGTCTCTTATACTCTTTTCTCCATGTGTGCTCTCTCTCACTACTTGAATGGTCTGTCTTGCCTGTTGTGACTCTGTGTCTTAGGTCTTTGTTAGAAAAACTTCCTGGTTTTCACAGGATCTGTGGAAACTGGCCACTCCTCTGTTCTTCCTTTTAAAGTGTGGGATAATGTGATCTTGCCTAACAAATTTTATTGTGGACTAAACAAGGTCAAAACCTTTTATGTTTTTTTAGCCTTGTGCTGAAAGTGCACTTCAGAAGAGCGACATCAGCTGATGCTACACTTCACAGCCATGGTGGTGTGTGAGGCCAGAGCATGTGATTGGGCTGCTTGTAGTCATGAGACGAGCATCTTAAACCATGAATACCTTTGCTAAGCTTATGCATATAACTAGAATGTTAATCAGCATGAATAGACCTTGCAGATTTAGACTTTTGGCTGTCTGGGAAGTGCATTGTCCTCCTACATCAACATGCCCTGGACACTAAGACTTGGGTCTTTGCAGTCTTGTGCTATAAGCGAGTGTAAGACAGTGATGCTTTTGTCTGCTGTGTTCTGTTGCGGGCAAAATGAATAATTTCCTCCCTTTCTCATGGCTACCAGCTTCACTTTGGTTGCCAAAAGGGAACCAAAGTGAAGCTGGTAGCCATGAGAATGATCCACTAATGGGATCTCTCATTGTTTCTACCTCATCACCTTTATTAATGCAGAAGAAAGTGTTTGGAAAGCAGATCCACTTTCTTAATCCTTCTATCCTTGCAGTCAGAAGTCAATTGAGTTTGTGTTATGTAGGTGAGTGAGGATGGTCTATATTTCCTCCCGTGGCCCTCCACTGTCACCTGTTGGCTTCCATATTGAAACTGTGTGTAAATAACAAAAAGGAGCTCTGGAGGAAATTACTTATATTCTGTGGAAATTCAGAATAAGGAGGAGATGCATTGATCTTTCACATTGTTCTTTAGAGTTGGAAATTATTTACTATAAGTGCTACCTTCTTAAAATAATGAAATTTACTATATTAAAAACATAATTTTTATGAATGTATTTCTGAGGTAGGAATTGAAATGCCCAGTGGAAATCATCAGCTCTAACCAGGCAGTGATACTGGAATACACGTAGTTGCATTTCAATCTGCTTATCACAATGTCAGGCCATTATCATTGCTACTTAATGGGTTATTTCCTTTTTGCATGAGCAAAAATGATGATCAGTTTTACTAATTAGTGTAGTCCAGGTTTTGGTCTGAACAGGTAGAGGGAATTTCCTACCACTTCCAGGTAAAGATCACTGTATTTGTCTAATTAGATCTCTGAAGAAACCTATAATCTGGCCTGTTTTGAAAATACCTTCAGCTTCATTAATTTTCAGTGTTGACACTGGGAAGTAAAGTTTTTTGTATTTTTGTGACTACTACTTTTCCACCAAATACTTGGTGGGTTTTACATGAACCTGTACATGATTCACTTGCAAAAAAAAAAGCCCCAGTCACAAGGATTTAAATCCATATTTGCTCTGCAAATGCTTGGGATCATTTGAGATGTTATTTGTTTCTAACTGTTTGTTATTATCTCACTGATTCAGATTGCCATTTTCAGAGCACAGACATGTAGAGAAAATCCTACATCTGCTTCAATAAAAAATCAACAATTCATGGATATGACCTGAGTAAATCCATTGAGGTCCTTCAGCAGTGGATTAAGGAATGCTCACACATCTAGTTTTGTTGGTTCTGCAGGCACTGTTCCAGTTACAGCCAGGAGAGGCTTCCTTTATTTCATGTTACTGTTTCTGATGGCACTTGATTATTTTCCACGTCATTATGTGTCCATGTGAATTCTCTGGTAGACTGTGCTGAAAGTTTTTCTTCTCTGGTGTTTTTTGGGGTTTGGAGAGCCACACAGGGAATTGCCATTCCTGATTATATTTTGTGATGGAAAAGGCTTGTGCACTTTTTTTATGAAATTGTCCCTGAGATTGTCTTCCTTAGCTCTGTGGGATCCTGTGTGACCAAAGGTTATGGTCAAATGTACTTTTCTTCCTTTTTGATAGGAACTTTTTGATCTTTGCTGTCTTCAGTAAGAAGGTCACTATGCTAGGGCCACAATTCTATTTTTCTGAAACTCGACAGAATGAATCAAGATTTGGGCTGGAATTTTAAAGTGGTAGTGAGAGCCAGCTGAGAGTCAGGATAGGAAATGAGAGTCATGGCTTGTAACCCTTTTGTATACTAGCTGAAGTCTGTGTGTTTTATGTATTTTCTGTTTAATTTCTTCTTCCATATGTTGCATTAGGCTTGATCTATACTTTGTGATACAGTAACCATTCTTCAGTGGAAGAACACTAAGAACACTATGATTAAGTTAAAGACTGAAATACCTAAATTTAGCTGTCTGCCTGTGCACTAGCTGTCCAAACTCACATAATTAATGGAATGCCAGCCAGTGGAGCTGACAGGGCTGTTCAACCTACCCACCACTCAGGTGTCTGCTCTGGAAGATCTACTTGAATCTCTAGTGACTCTCCTGACTAGATCCCTGCTGTCCATAATGGGAGCTTAGATGCCTGTCTGTAGATTTCCGAAACCTAGAGCTAAATAGTACCCTTAAAACTGCTCTCAGACATTTCTCTGTGTACATTGTCCAAGTTTTGGGTTGATCACTGTTGCTAATCATATTCTTGGATGCTGCCTTTCAGGGTACTTCTTCCAGGAGGTGGTGTGGATCTTAGGACTTCAGAGTATTCAAGGGTTGCTAAGATGTTTTACCACAAGGCCTTGGAGGTAATTACTAAAGAGCTGTTGATTCTTGTTATTATCACTGTTCAGAGATCAAAATGACAAGTTCATATTTTTCATAGTTTTGCATTGTTACTCAGTGGGTTAACTGTGGGCCTGAAAATAGGTAGCTTATTTCTTGCTTCTGCATAAAACTTCTGCATTAATAGCTTGAGATTCTGACTTGTGACACCCACTCCTGTTTTATGTGTGTTCTGATCTTAAACTCCTAAGTTCTTCAGGTTAGAATGGTATTGTTTGTTCATTGTACCTGAGGCTTTATGACTCTGTGTAAACTTGGCAATGAGGAATTGCTTTTCCACCTTTGCTGCTGACTTTCCAACAGCAGGCAGGGAAAGTGCAGCAGTGGCATTCATAGGACCAGTCAGCTGCTGCAATTCTGTAATTGAGCTCCCTTTACTCTTCAGTCTCTGTGGCACTAAAGTTCTTGTTCTTTCTTGTGTGTCTATTTGTGGTGAGTCTTGCAAAGACTGTCTCAGTTTTATGTGAGATGATTTCGTTTGTCTTCCTGGAACTGCTCACTATGTGAACTGCAGCCTGTGCCTTGGTATGCAGCACTGGGGCAAGGGTTTCTTGTGGCTTGTTGTACAGTTAGGAAATTATGTTGACATTTCACAATGATGAACTGAATTGCCTGTGTCACTTTATGATCAGAGAGACAGGTTTATTAGCAGATATATGTACTACGAGTGACTGAAAGGCAGAAAATAATATTCAGTTCATCCTAGGTAACCCTTTATAACAAAGGATGGTTTTTCCTTGCTGTTTGTGATAATTTTGTGGTTTGATATTCATCTTTCAAATCTTAATTACTTTAAAATATTTCTAGTTTTACTTATGTAAGGTAAGCTACAGTAGTCAAGAGTATCTTTACAAGTACAGAATGACTGAATTTTATCTTTTGCTAAAACATGAGGGGTCTTTTTCATTTGCAAATGCTCACAATGAGAAATTACTTTGATCTGGCTCTGCTTTAATATGAATAGAGGATATGAAATGCTAATCCCCATTCAAGTCCATAAAATTTTACTACTTAGGCAAAAATCTAAATGAAACACTGTTTTTCAGCTCTTAAATTAGTTTTTAAAATGTGATGTCTTGAGTATTGTTTAATACATGCTTAGCCTCCAGGCCCTAGTTTATTTTAAAAAATAAGTGGGGGGTGGGGGGGGCGCAAAATCTTTGTTTCAGTTGTAATTGGTTTAAAATTGTAGTTTATTTTTTGCCTTCAGTAGTTTTAGTCCTCACTTGCAACTCCAATGTCTGTCTTTCATGTAAGTTCTGTGTCTCATTATACATTAAGGGTGGTCATGAAGACTCTGCAGCCCTATCAGCCTTTTTTCTGTACTTCTTCCTTGTTTTGCTGTGAGAAGAAGTAGCTCTGTGGGCTTTTATTACCATACTGTCAGTAATGCAGTAGGGGAGCATTATTATTCTGAGCCCGTCATTTTAGCTTTCTCAAAAATGGCTTTGAGCAGGAGTTCTTTTGGGGGTGGTGAGTGTGTTGTGGTATGCATAACTTAAAAATGTTTAGAAACAAGTTAAGAAAAACTAGTCAGATTTCACAAAAACAGGAGTTCTGAAACATCCCAGTCTCCAACATATGCTTACTATCAGGTATAAACCATTTAAAAATGCCGACTTCCACTGCATGTATGCACCATGCTTAATTAGGTCACAAGAAACTAGTTGTGTTTTTGGTTTTTTGCTTTCTTTTTTTCCTTTTTCCTATTGTTTTCACACTGACCTGCCAATTTTTATTCTTTTGAAAATGATCGCCACTTTTTACTCTTGCTTAAATGTACATTTTTTCTTTTTGGAACACAGGTCTAAACCTGCTAGCTAAACAATCCTATAGGTAGGATTTTGAGACCACAGCTATGCTAGTAGTAGGATTAATGTTTTTTTAGTACAGTTGTGTGGGCACAGACATTGCAAAGGTCCCTATGTGGTCAAAGTATGCATTGTAGAAAAGTTTGAATTGTAATGAGCACACTTTCCCTCAAAATGGCGACAGACTCTTCTGTGTCCCCTCTAATGATGGCTTTTTTTTAGAGAAATGTTGCCATTTTGTGGTTTCTGTTTAGGCTGCTTTCAAAATTACTTGTAGAACAGAACAGTCAAATCAGTATCCACATTAGGCTTAGTCTGCTGCTTCAAAACTCATATATATCCTTTAGCCTTCATATATTCTCACCTACACAAAAGCAAGTAAAAACAGTAGGAAGTTCTTGTCAGTCTCTTTTCTGTAGATTTCCATTACTGTTTCCTTATGTTGTTGCTTTTATTTTGTAGGCTAATGATAAAGGAGATTATTTCCCGATATGGGGAACATGTCTTGGACATGAAGAGCTTACATATCTCACAAGTGGTGAAATTTTACTTGTTCACACCAAGACAAATGGTTTTTCACTCCCTCTGAACTTTACCTCAGGTGAAAAATTCGTTACATATCATGTCTGAGTTTTGGTAAGAGGTGTTGTGTTTTGTTCATGATGAATGTTATGGGTGAATGTTTGTGAGGTTCCTGCTGATTACCTTCTGTTAAATTCTGTGTTATTAAGTTGCATTGACTGTTTTTGTAAAGTCAGTGCAGCTGTCACTTCTTAAGCAGAGGAATGAGCACAAGCCATTTGAAACCAACAGCAGTCAGCAAAAACTAAAGTTGTGGCTCTTTGAGTCATTTGCAACTGCAGACGTACAAAATAATGTCTGCTTTTTGTTACCAAGTTCACAAAATTCACAGATTCAAAACCTATTAAGCTTGGAGAGCAGGTGATTTTAAATTTTTGAAATCACATCTTTCCTCATGATGAATAGTAGCATTACTGTCCTATTTGAACAGTATTGAAATCACAGAGATTCCTTGAGATAGCGCTGTGTCACTTCGCAGCACTGGTAAAGTGTGGCCTCTGATGATACTTGATCCTTTGTGAGTAATTAAAAAAAATGTAGCATTCAAAAATTCTGTCACTTGTGCTCATTGTGAGTGGATAGGCTGCTGAAATGAGTGTCAAAGAATGGTGCTTATTTTTTTCTCACTCTTAGTGAGAACTTTGGATTCTCTCTGGGTCAAGACCGGTAGACAGTGATAACAGCACATTGGAAATCTATTGTAGTTATTTCACTGATATTTGTTGCAGGATATTCTAAAATAATAAAGATTTACTGCTGAAAAGGCAGCATTTTATTAATTGTCTTCTGTCTGTATAAGTCCATCTGAGACCAGTTTTGGTAATAGAAAATACTTTTTTTTTTTTGTAATAGCTGCAAAAGACAGTAGAATGTTCAGGAATTTCCCTGATGATGTGTTGTACGCACTTGCTACTGAGCCATTGACATCAAACTTTCATGTATGGAGCCTCTCCATGGAGGTATTTGATCTTTTTATTTCCTGCACACAAACTTTTTTGTTGTTGTTGTTAAAACTAGAAATAAATAAGCAAATAACACCTTTTCCCTCTTCCCCCTCTCCCTGTCACAGAATTTCACCAATAATGAAAAGCTTCGTAATTTCTATAAAGTTCTGACCACTAACACTGATGATGAAGTGGAGTTTATATCTACCATGGAAGGTAAGGAAATTCATTTCCTTTGGAAACTATGACTGTAACAACCTTAACAACCTTGTTCTTTAGGGCTGTTGTGGCATGGATGTGAATTGGTATTGCAAGGTGTTCACATAGCAGGGTGAGCATCAGCCCTGTCAGCGCTCTGGCTGTGAGGAGCATTTCTGTTTGCAGGGATATTTTATCTTTTGAGTGCTGTGAGCCTTACTATTCCTCCCACCCACCATTCCCCTTCCAGATATGCTGTTACACATTAGCACTGGCATATTTGAGAGCTGTGCTGTGAGCTGTACAGCTCTTGTGCTGCAGTAGTTGGATCCCTGCACAGTGCCTCTGTCAAGCCGTGCCTGCCAGCTCCCTGCTTAGGCTGGCGTGTCCCTGGTGCTCTCTGTTTGCTGTATGGGAAAAGCACTCCAGGCTGCTGAGGGAGCAGCAATATCCCTCATTACCTTAGCAACAATGCTGGTAATTGTCCTCCTCCAAAGGCCTTTTGCATGACTTGTTTTGTCTGTTTTGCACTGGGCTTGCTCAGCTCAGGAAACAAGTTAGCTCTTCAGGGAGTGTTTTATCTTCATGAGTGCACCACTAGCAGCCCTGTTGTAGGACCCAGCTGTCACCAATGGGATTCTTCTGTGTGACATCCTGGCTGGCCTCCAAAAGAGAAGAATAGCTCTTTGATCAGCAAACCTGATTAGGCTAATGACAGGCATCACCGTGCCTGCAAGCAGTTTATCACAGAGCAGTCATCAGCCGTTATTCCCTGGAAGAGAGCTAAGGACTGACTCCCCCAAAATGTATCAGCCTGGGAGCTGCCCTGGATTGACTGGGCCTTCAAGGAGATGTGAGGACTTGGATCTTTCCCATGGAGCTAGCATCCTGTATGGCTGGGAATGCTGTGTGATGCTGGCAGGAAGATAGGAAGCTTTGAGAGTGATGTACTTCAAACATTATTTTTTAGTGTGTATATACACTAATTATGAAATGACTAATCAAAAAAATGATGTACAAATATTTTCTTTTGTGAAGTGAGACCCTTCTTTTACTGTATCTCTTTTCCTTCAGTTCTACTATGACTTTAACAGTGTTTCAACTTGCTGTTTAAGCTTTTGTGAAACTGTTAATAAGATATATTTGTAGCTTATCCTCTGAGTTTACTTTGCAGTAGGATTAATTACATGATTCTTAAGGCACACATCCTTACACGCTTTGTGTTTTGTTGTAGCATACAAATATCCAATTTATGGCATGCAATGGCATCCAGAGAAAAACCCTTTTGAGTGGAAGGATTCTCCAGGCATTCCACATTCTCCATCTGCTGTACGAGCAGCATATTATATGGCTGATTTCTTCGTTAATGAAGGTAAAAAGTTTATTATCTTTAAATGTGGGGGGTGAGAGTGAAGCATTACTGAAAAACTTAGAAGATGACAGATTTCTTTTTCAGCTGTCAAAGTTCAGTACCTCGTAGTGCTTTCTGAGAAGATTATTCTGCAAGCTTTATAGGCTTATAAAACACCAAAGGATACTAGAAATAGAATGGCTTAGTGAAAGTAACATCAAAAGGCCAAGCATTCCACAAACTCTTTTTACTACGCTGGCTCTAAAACATTGTTCTATGACTTCCTACCATTTCAAAATATCCCTGTAACATTTTGGCCTTTCTTGCACAAAGACAATAAAACAAAAAAAGTACTCCATTCTTAATTCTAGGGCCTTCTTCAGTTCCAAACAGACTTGCAGTCATTCAATGTGTTCTCAGTTTTGCTTGCAAAATGCATACACCAGGACTATAAATAGGGCTTGGACAGTATGGATGTGTCAGAGGGGTGCAACATGTGCCCTACAGTTGTATTCTATAGACAGCACAAGGAGTTTCTGAATTTTACAAAGCTGCTAATTTTTTTTTGTTGTTTATACTCTAAGAATCTGGAAGTAACTAATGCATAACATTTTGATAGTTTTATGACACTTCCCATCTGTTTGTTATAAATAAGGAGGATATAAATAGAGGAGTGTTTGAAGGAATCAAACTTTATTCCTTAATTTATCCCTACTTAATAATTCTGCTGGACTGTTTTATGAAATTGTCTTACCTCCTTGATGGAGACTATGAAGAACATAATAATTAAGCTGGTTGAGTTTGGTCTCTAGACTTGGTCTCAGATCAAAAGAGTCAACTTAATGAAGAAATAGATAATGATGTAAAAAATGCAATTTGTGATGACCTGATCAGTGAGAGTGTAGAAATAAAATTTGCATTTCATACAAATTCGAGGTGCTTTTTTGCACAAAATTAGTCCTATTCCTCTTTGTGAAAATGTTACAAAACCATCTTCATATGGAACTTAGGGCCTGGCAGAATTGGGCTTCTGAGCAGCCTGGTCTAGTGAAATGTGTCCCTGCCCATGGCAGGGGGATTGGAACAAGATGATCTTTAAGGCCCCTTCCAACCCAGGCCATTTTATGAGATGGCAGACTATGATAAAAACAAGGGGGGAAACAGGAGAAAGTAGAGTGTAAGTCTGATTTTAATTTTGTAGTCTAATACTAGAAAGCTGTGTGTTCTCTGGCTTTGTTTGCTACTTTCTCAAGTGTCTGTCTGCAGACTGTACTCCCAATAGAAGCTTACTCAGGCCATTATCCAAGTTAAGTGGGGCAAAACAAGGGCCAGCTCTGCTTGTAAATCCAGTTGAGGTACACTGCCTGTGAGTTCTGTTACACAGGTAGGTGTGCACATCCAAGGAGCTTGTGCAGAGTGCCACACAGGTGTGTCACTAGCTTTTGGATCTACACGCCTACAATTCCAGTAGAGCAAACTTTCTTCAGCCAGCGTTGTCCACCCCCATCTCTTCTACCCAATCCTTAATTACTCTTCATGGCCTCCCCAGTCTTTTGGGGAGGTACTGAAGCATTAGCTGCTCTACTGAGTACTTCATATCATAACTTTGCAATGAGTAATTGACATTTTTAGCTAGTGTAAGGCAGAATATCTTCCCTAACTTTGAAAATAAACCACAAGATGAAAAATGTAAACTGTTTTCAGCCAGTAAAAATATACTCATGTGTGATCACTTAGTAACTAAACCATTCTACTGAAATGACATTTTTATATCCATCCATCATTAATTTTAACTTCTGTAGAGTTGCCAGCTTGATAAACCAGTTGAGAATTCAGTTTTATTGTCCTCATCAGCACAGTCCATGCAGCTTTCAGTAGGCTGATAGTCTCATGCATTTCTTTCAGAGTTAAAGGTTTTTCTGGTAGATACTGCCAGTATCTCATGGATAACTATTTTTTACAGTCTTGGCTTTAAATTCCCCCTCTTTGGTTATAAAATATGCTGTAACCAGCTTTCTGAAGATGTATCTTCACAGTTCTTCACATACCAGCTACTGTAATCCCATTTGTTGCTGTGCTACACAAAATAACTTACTTTGCCAAAATAAATATTGTTGAGGAGGATAACATTAAAATGATCTGTACTTTTATAATGTTTTACAGCCAGGAAGAGCATGCACCATTTCTCCAGTGAAGAAGAGGAAGCAAAAGAATTGATCTATAATTATAATCCAGTTTATACAGGAACATTTTCTGCATTTCAGCAAACCTATTTTTTTGATTGAGTGTCTTGTCAAAGGTGCAGTGTTGTTATTTATAAATGGAATTATTTGCCAGCACTGTGTAATTAAGCTGATATAGTGACAGAAAGCTAGAACAGTTTTCCTTTACAATGATTTATTCTGTGTATCTTCTGCACTATTGAAACATTAATATATAAATTTACATTCAATAACATAATAATCATCTTGGATCACACTTTAAGGCAAGCTACAGAAAAGTGTATTTTTCTTCCAGGAAAGAGGACTTGACTATGCTTATAAACTTTGAAGTAATCACCTTTGGTATAAGGAAAAGTTTTCATATATTTTGAAATATGAGACTTATCTTTGTAAAATGTTTTGGACTATGATAGCACTAGACTCTTCGATACATTGTGTAGTAAAATCCTGTCCTTTTCAAATGATTTGGCAAATGAGACTCTTGGATTTGTCTTAGATAAGTGTATGCAGCCAAGTTCTTGACAGGGACTCCTTTGTCATTTCAAAAACTGACCAAAATAGTAAGTCATGATAGCAAACAGATTTTTTTTTTTGCCTAAGAAGTGCATTATGTCGCATTTGTGAAACTTTCTCTTGTACATTAAGCATTTTTTGGAGTCCTTATACCTTGTGAGGCCTTTGTATCACAAATACGATATAAAATAAGTAAGTTTGGAGGGCGTAGTTCAGTGCTGATTCCACTCTCAGTTCTTTTCAGTTCAGTTTTATACATCCTCCAAGAATTTGTCTTGTTGTGACTGGAGACTCCAGATACGAGATGCAGACACTTTGTATTTAAAAGAATGTAAACTTAATTTTTTTTCTAAGGTGTCCGGCTTTTCCCATAGCTGGGTAGAATTTTCACTTGAAGTCAAGAGGTAGTTTGCCACTGTATTAGTAAACAAGGTAGTTTCTTTCTGTCTTGTTTAATAGTTCTGTGCAGCTAGAATTTAAACAGCAGATGAATGTATATGAGAAACCTGTTAAAGGTGACACAATGTGATAATAGCAGTTGCATGCAATACACCAACTGTTTTCGCTCTGCTTTGCTCCAGACCTGGTGAAAGTTTTGTTCAGTGGTTTTGTGTGTTGTCCAAAAAGGAACTAAGATTAGACAATCAAATGTAATTCTCTTCTCCAGCATAGCTTCCAACATTGACAAGGATTTGGAGTTTATGAAGAATTCAGGTTTATAAACTTCAGCTCTGTTTTGTATAACTTCATTCTCTCAGGTACCATATCTGAATAAGTCTGGTAAGTTTCTCAGGTTTTTCAATTAAAACACTCTCTAACTTGTTCTTTATCATGAAACAACTGCATAACAGAATGTGAAATGTATCAGTTAGAAAAAAACTATGAGGAAACATTAACTGTAACTAGCAGAAAAATACTTCTAGGTAATTACAAGCTTAAACATGAGATATTTTTACATTTGTCATATCAGCCAACTTAGTAAATGGTTATCTTTTCTTGCAAGGGAAATGTCTGCAATGGTAGTAATTAGTTCCTAAATGTGTAACTATAAAGAGTATTATGTGTAATATGATGAGAGAAGTTTATATATGATGAATTTATATAATGTGTCTTTCCTTTATATGCTTTCTCTTGTAAAGACTTATTTGATGATATGCATGATTTTTGTGTGATACATGGAATAAACTTTCTTTCAAGCAGACTTGTATTTTTTGTCATCTTTTAGATACCACCGATGAAGCACTGACAACAGTCATTGTTTTCTTGTTTCCATCTGTGATAGTCATGAATCAGGAGGTTACAACCTGTATCTGCCTTCTGTGGTCATGCCAGCAAGTCAGGGTCAGGATGAGTGAGATCCATGGTTTGGCACAGACATGCCTGGAGCCCAGGGCTTGAGCTTGAATGCCCTTTAATGTGGCTGCTGAGACAGGGGTAGGAGCTTTCAAGAAGGCTGCCCACAAATCATTCTCACAGAGCAGGCTCACCCAGGGGCAGTGTCAGACCTTGCTTAACACAGGCAGCCAAACCCCCACAAAAGTGGGAAGGAGCTGCAGCACTTTCTGGATTCTGAAAGCTGTAAGCAAAGAAATTTCTGCCTATCCTTATAATACCCAATATCTTCCATCATCTTCTGCAGCCAGAAACTGCAGAAACCCAGAATTGTCTAGCAGTCACCTAACACCATTTAAAACTTTGTTTTAAGGAAGCCCTCCCCTCTGCTCTGTGTTGTACAATTTGCTTTTTCATTGCACAGACAGAACTCCAAACACAGTTTTTAGAAATGCTAGAGAGAGAAGAAGAGCCTGTGACCATACTCAGCTTATTGAGCCTGGTGTATGAGCTTAACCAACTTGTTGCTGTGTGGGAGGAACATCCACTGATCAGCAAGGTAACCCTAATATATGTCTTGCAGACCATATTAAATCATCTCTAAGAAAGAAAAGTTTGAAATAGTTTCCTCCTTGGAGTATTCTGCTCTTCCCACTAGATGGCCTCCAAGAACCAGTATTTTCTGTTATTTTGTTATTGGGTGTGGTTGTGTCTCTCTAAAGTTGAGTAAGATATTTACTGTACTATGGTATGTAGTGGGATGTTTGGGATGTGGGGGAAGAAGAAGGGAGGAGACAATAGCACTGGAATCTTACTAGCAGAACTGGGCATATTGGCAGGATTCCATGAGAGGGTTTGTGAACATTGAATTAATTCACCTGGGATTAAATTTTGTTTCCAGTGAATATTTAAACCATTCAAGCATTAGCTGGAGGTGGCTGCAATTACATCTGTCTTTCCAGGTGGTTGTTCCTCCCCTTATCTATAGAATCTGTCTTGGTTCCATTTTCTATAAATATGAAACTAGCTCATGCAGAACAGGACAGACAGTTTAGATGGGAAGAAATGAGAACTTGATCTTAGAAAACCTTTGCCTGGGGGGCAGGAAAGACCAGTTTGAATTCCTTCAGGTAAGGAAGAAACATCCTAAGTGCTGTAAGTATGGAGTTAAAGAATAAGAGGAAGAGCTTGACCCACAAGCTTCATTGTGAGAAAAAACAAATCACAAAACAACTTGCCCAAACCCCCACCACTTTTGGGCTGACAAGCTATGCAAAATTCCCTGGCAAGGTAATGAATCCAAAGCAGAGATTACTGTCCAAGCACTTCTATGTTGAATACCACATTTTTAGGTTAACTTTTAACCTTTACCCCTTTAGCATCAGTGCCACCATATTCATTGCTGTGGATACTGCTCAACCAAACAATATTGAAAGCTGGTCTGTACTGGGGAGATTTCTATAGAAAATAATGATTAATGGCCTGTTAGGTTCGGTGAGGAACCATCAGGAACAGCCTGATGGTTCTTGCCTTGGAACAGTGAGGAAAGTAGGGGGACAGTTTGAACAACAAGGAAGAACCATAAGGAATGATTTCCCATTTATGTGTTAATCCTGCATTGCCCTTATGAGCCAGCAGCCCTGAAAAAGGAATAGCTGTGTGTGTAATCAGGTAATCAGGTGGCTGAAGTCTGCCTGCCAGGGCTCAATCAAGAATGTTTGGGTTTGAGGTGGGAATATGTACACAATGTTACACTTTTATCACAGTAAATAATATTTTATCTGGGGTTGTGTGGGTTCTTTTGTTTTTTTTTTCTACTGTGAAGTTCCCATTCATGTAACTGGAGATGATGTTACCAGAAAAGCTATGGGAATTGGCTAGGGTCCAAGTCCACTAAGGTTTCTAAGTGCCTTTTCAAATTATTATGGTTTGAGTACTTATGTGGAAGACAGATTGAGAGATACTGTGAAGTGATTGATTACCTTTCCTTGTTAGCCTTGTGTCTTTCCCCAGGACAGGCCTCTTCTCTAATCCACTGCTTATTTATAGGGCAAATAGTGAAGTTTATCCTGCCCTGAGCCACCTGTTGATAAGGATACTGTTCCAGCTTTCATCACTTCCTCATTATGTTTAGATCTGTTTCATAAAGTAAGCAGTATGTTTTAAGAGCCAGCTTCCTCTTTTAGTTTTTATATAACCAAAAAATTTTCCAAGACAATTTCATCCAAAAAAAAAGCCTAGAAGCCTAGACCATTTAAAAATAACTGTCACTATTTGGAGGAGCACTTGAGCAATGCATTCACTCCAGACTTAAGCAAAAACCCCGTGATTATCTGACTTTCAGAGATGTAGTGAACAAACATCCTTGCAACTAAGCTTTCTGTATATGAAAAGCAAAAAAGCAGAAAACTCAAAAGGTTAAAAGGGGTAAATTCTAGCAGTTGTTTCTTTTGAGCATCAAAACCACTGGGTTGAATAGTGTGGGGTACTTTTTGGGGTAAAGTTTATTCTCTCCACATAGTTTGGATAGGACCTTGCTTTGGATTTGTGCTGAACACAGGGTTGATAATTCAGGGATGTTTTACTGTTTTGATCTCAACCTATGAATTTTCTCAGTTTTACTCCTCTGATTCTCCCTGCCCACCCCTCTGTGGGAGGAGTGAGTGTCTGTGTGGGACTTTGGGGTTAAATCACAGCAGCTTGTGACTGTGTAGCTCCCAAGCTGCCTTTGATGATCTCTTTCACTGTGTGTATGCAGGTTTAAGAGCTGATGTCATATGTGTTTGGTTTCTTGCAATTTTCCTGAAGAATAGATCAGCAAGATCAGAAAGACTAAAATAGCAATTTTCTAACTGGAAACACATTAGGAAATTAGTTTCTCTGTGTGACTTCTTGAGGCACTGATTTAAACTGGTTATCATGACCTTAATTCAACTGCAGAAAGGGAAGTTTCAACTTCATATCACTGAAGTCGACCAGGATTTACTCAGCAGGTCTTGTACTAATAATGCCTAAGGACCTGCTTTTTCAAAAGACAATGGAACATACTAGTCTGATTAATTACTCCATTACTATTGTATTAATTACTAATTTTAATACAGTATTAGTTTTAATTATTAATAATATTGTTTGCATTATAGAGGAGGCACAAAATAAAGTGAACAGGCCACAGACGATTTCTGAGATTTTTTCCAAAGGAGCCATGTCAGAATGGAAGTACTCCAAAGTTTTTGGCCAAACCCATTCTCACCCTGGATGAAGTTAATTCTTTCCATTCTTGTAGACTTCTAAATTTATTGCTGGCTATTGCTAAATTTATTATTTAAACTGTTGTACCACTGATGGAGGACATTTGCAGGATCTAATAGCAGATCTAAACATGTCTTGGGCTACCTGAGTGGCCTATTATCTGCTTTGCTTTAATTTGAGGTATTTGTACTGATTGTTTCTCATTAATATTTGCAACAAGCATCTCAGTCTACCACTTCAACAAAAAGGACCAGTAATTCTTTTGTTTCTGAACTTAAAACCAAAACATTTTCTATGTTCTTTATACCACTAAGCTGAACAGAACAAAATTTTCTCTTTCTAGGAACAGGAGCTAATTCACTGTTCATTCCTAGGCTCTTAAACTTTACTTGGGTTTCTCATCAAATTCAGGATGAGTTTGTTCCTATCCCTGTAGGTTTCCCACTTAGCTTCTTGCAGACTGTGCTACCTTGTGGCTCCTTAGGGAGTTTAATTACTGTACCAGAATGTCGAGGCAGCAGTTACTACTTCTTCCAGCAACAGCTACCATAATCTTCCCAAATTACCCACTGTTCTGCTTCAGATGCCTGCAAATGGGGGAACTGGCTCCATGAACACACTAGATGTTTAAGCAAGCCCTGTAGCTGCCTGGCCAGTTTGTGTCAGCTGAAGCTCAAGCCATGCAGCCCAAGATGATGCTTCAACATAAATGTCTTTCATTTCCTCTTATTCTTAACTGTCAAGAACCTTGCCTTCCCTTAGTTGTGTTTGCAAAGTTTCCCTAAGAAATCTTCAGATTTTCAGATTTTTTCAGAATCTGTCAGCTCTTTTCTCTTTGTTTTCCACACCAAGGGAGTCAGGTGCATGAAATAAATTCCTCTTGATTAATCACCAACTCTTTTAACAAAAAGTGAAACTTGAGATGATGATATACTGTAGCTTTTAAGCTATGCTTAAAAGATGTGAGTGGGGAAAAGTTATCAGAGAGATATAGCATGTATCTTTATGCATTAACTTTATTTTAAGAGAAGCTGAATTGCATAACATCAGCATGGGAAATGCCAGTCCTGACAATAACATCTGTTTGAACAGCAGGGCTTGCTGGGCATCTTTTGTTTTCCCAAATTTCTCACTTGCCCATTTTGACTGTAGGGTCCAGGGTACTGTATAATATCCTATCCTTTTGGCAGCCATTCCTGCAAATGCTCAGCATGGATAGTGATGGTCACTCTAGGACCTTGGTGCTAAACTCAGTCTCCCTCTGAGGCTTGGCTGTCTGTGGCAGTCAGGCCACAGAACTGCATGGGACAGGACTACAAGTCACATGCCAGGTGATGTTTGACAAGTCAGGGTTTCACAAAACACCACATTTCTGTCATGCCTCACTCATGTTTGGACAAATTAGGAGAGTTTTGATTTCCCAAGAGAAGAGAAAGCCTGAGGCTCATATCCTGCATTGCCACAACAGTGAGCGCAGACACGTGCCCAAACCATGCCATGTATTTTTGCTGTTCAAAAGGGCTTAAAGTGACATTCAGAAAGGTTATTAGGTGTCAAATAGTGCTCTTTTAAATTCATTCTTTATAAAAGAAAATTAATACCTATGTAACACAATGAA